GCACTGTATTTATCTGATAATCTTCTCTTTTCTATTTTTTTCTTTCTGGACTCCTTAATATTCAATTGTTCCCTTCTTTATTTTCTAGTTTTTTACGGTTTGTTTGTTTGTTTCTTTGTATTTTCTGGGATGCATTGATTTATCTTCACCTTATCATCCTTCTATTGCATTTTGGATACTTTTCTATTGTATTTTTCATTTCTCGGACTTACTCCATTCCTTTATCCTACTCTTAGTTTAGGAGTACAATATCTTCTCTTATCTCTCTGAGGTTATCATTTACATGAATGTTATTTTTTCTTACGCGCTCTTTTTTTGTTTGGGTAGTCTTTAGAAAAATCTTCCTTCCATGTTAAAGATTTCCTTCAGACACGTTGGTTGTCTGCCATACATGGAGAAGACACAGAGGCCGCTGGGAAGGAGGGCGTGGGTAGGACTATCCATGTCCCCATGATGAGGGACTGGGTACACTCTTTCTGGGTGCTGTCCTCCATTGTTGGCTCCTGCAGTCATAGTTCTGGGGGATTCAGCATCCCAGAGAGCAGTCCTGTCTTTCCCTGGAAAGCATCAAGTCCGGTGCAGCATTCCAGCATCCAGACGGAAGGGTGTGGTGATGTCCCGCCCTTCACTGGGGAGGGTCACTGTCCCCTTTCTCTGTAAGCCCCTCTGCCTCCATCTGCATGTGGCATTCCTGGAGCTTCCTAGTTCACCCTCTCCCGAGAGTGACTTTGGTCCCAGTGGGTGGGAGAGTGGCAGTCATCTGGCCACACAGGCTTGGGGAGGTGTTGGTGAGGGCTGAGTTTCCTGAGAACACCCCACTGGGTCTCTGCCCTCAACCCTACTGGTCCCAAGACTCCCTGGGACTCCAGGCGCTGAGCCTTCCATATTCTCATTTCTCATGATTTGTCCCTGAAGGCACATGGCTGTCAGCTGTCCTCACTCCCAAGTCAGCAGCTGCTTGACTCTGCTTCCCAGCCACTAGGCTTATTGCCACTGCTGCCTCTCTTGTCCTTTGGCATGTGGATTTATCCCTTGTTTGTTCCTCAAGTGTGCAGAGTAGGGCTTCAGAAGGGAGCTGAGAGCGTCATCTGCTCAGTGTGCCATGGTTCTCTCAAGTCCACCCACTGTGGTTCAAGAAAGCAACTGCCTGGTCCACGAGGGAGGTGGGAGTAAGGACACTGACCTCCAGAGAAGAAGGATTGCTAAATCATGGGCTCGGATTGGAAACAGAGAAGAGATTAATTTGGCACTTAAAAACCTGGACTGTGGCCCAGACTCCTACCTGAGTTGGCAGACCCATTGCATTATCCTTTGAGCCTCAAAAAATGGGATAATGATGGGATTGCCTTGTGTGCTTGCTTGAGCATCAGTTGAGGAAACTGGCAGTGTTTAGCACAGTGCCTGCTGCATGGTAAACTTTCCGTATGTAGGGTTGCAGTTATTGCTGTTATTTTTCTACTATTACCAAGTGATAGATCAGTGGCCTGGAATGGGGAAGAGGATGTGTCTCCTCCCCCAGAGTGGGCAGAGAATGAGAGAATTGTTGGAAAATCAGAATAAGAGGCACCTCCCAAACACCCCTAGGGCTTGTTCCCAGCTGCCTCACCCAGGGTGCCACCCAGGACCCTGGCTCTGGGACAGACAGACAGACAGGGGTGTCTCTGTCCTTGGTCAGCTGCTGGAATGTGGAGAGACTTGGCCCAGGGCCTAGCTGAGGGCGGGAGGGGAAGATGAACGCCTGAGCCAGACAAGCAAGCCCAGCACCGAGAAGAGCCAGAGAGAGGCAGAAAGATGGAGATGCTCGCCCTACAGATCAAGAGGTCCTTGGGAAGGAGGTGCCATCTCCAGGTTTGTCACACCATCCTGGGGGTCAGGCAGCAGAGGGAAGGAAGAGAGTGCATTTGGAGGGCCACAGTGGCATCAGGGAAAAGTGGAACCTTCAGTCTCCTTCCTGGTGGTGGGACAGGAGCCAGGCCCTCCCCGCAAAAGGGTAGGGTGTTCAATGAGTGAGTCAGGCCCCATTTCCAGGGCCTGGGGGTCTGGGGCATGCAGGCCACCCGCCTTCCCAAGGGACCCAGCGCCCCAGGCTCTCTGCAGATAGATGGCTGCTCACTGGCTGCTTGGACCCAGACGTGATGAATCCACGCTCTCACCTTGCCTTGTCATAGTCACCATGGCCCCGGGGCCATGTCAGAGGACAGCGGAAAAGGATGCAGACATGGCGCTTCTCTGCAGCCTTCACCAACCTCAGGGGAGGCAGACAGATGACAATTCGGGTGACTAGTCCCATGGCAGGCAGTCCTTGTCAATGTCTAGGAAGACAGAGGGGGACACCAGCCTCCTCTGGGGTCAGGAGCCTCAGAGTTGCCTTCTGATGGCCAGTTAGGGAGCAGGACACTCTCAATGGGGCTCAAGGCCCAGCCCAAGGTGGACAAGAGAGCTGGGCAAGTGAAGAATCTTTGCAGGGTTGAAGAGGACTCCCCAGGCTAGTCCAACTCTCCTGGCCTGAAAAACCCAGAAGCCTTTTCAGGCTGGAAAATGCTTTAGAGACCCTGGTGAGAGGTCACATTGGTCCTGAGCCTCTGCTCAGACAGGAGGGGAACACACCCCCATGCCTCCCCTCAAGCTGTCTCATGCCATGTCCTGAACTTCTCCTGGGCCCAGGACAGCCCGAGCGTGTGAGGGAGGGGCACACAGGTCCTTTCCCAGGTGGTGGGCAGCTCTGTACCATCCCTAAAGTCCCCCAGTGTCCACTCTAACCTGGCCCCGCTATCACTGGAACAAGGAGGCCAAGGGGAGGCTGACAGCCATGGGAGCCTGGGTGTGTGTTACAGTGCAGAGCCCGGCAGGGAGCCAGCCAGAGGAAGGAAGGGCCGGCCACTGGCCACCGTGTGACTTCCCAAGTAGACACTGCTATTTATACTCGAGGGCTGGAGCTAGGCCTCCCCCATCAATGAGGACCTGGGGTGGCCCCAGGCCACAGCATCTTCCAGCACACTGGGATTGTGGGAATGGATGGAGGGTAAAGTTACCCTCTCTTGTGCACAGGAGCGGAACCTTCAGCCACTCAGCACCAGGTCCCTGCCAGGAAATGGGGCTGGAGGTGGCCGGGCAGCTGTCAGGTGGGGCCAAGTGTCCGTCCCAGGGAGAGGGTACCCCCCATCCACACCCACAATCCCACCATGCTAGAGGGAAGGAGGACGCCCAGACCAGGCTGCCCCTTCACTGCTAGCGGACCCTGTGCCTGTGTGCTGCCAGGGAGCCCGCAGGCTCAGCAAGCCCTTGGGAATATGTCCTTGTCCTCGCCAGACCTCGCTGCTGTGGTTGTTATCTGGTGTTTGGAGTGAAGCGTTTGAAGGTTGGCGGCCCAGGCAGGGGACAGCATGGGCCCAGCAGACAGGAAGGTGGTAGATGGCTCTGAGCCCTGTGATGGTAACAGACGATCATGGGTAGTCTGCCCGGGCTGTGAGGTCCCATCATGGCATGTGCTAAGCACTTAGGCCAGTCTGGTGTGGTCACCTAGGCACAGGCACATCCCACAGCAGCTGGCTGCCCATGCCCATTTAGAGGGTCCAACAGGAGATTCAGGGGGACCCTCAGGTCCCTGGCAGCAGTGTAGTCTCCAGGGATTGTTCACTGCTTGTGGTACAGCCTGGGGCCTCTCACCAGCCAGGGGCTGAGACCCACAGACAACGCACTGCCCGGGTCCATAGCTCCACCCTCTCAGCACAAGGATTCCTGGGTCTGAGCCCGCCAGCCCTGGCAGGGATGACGCTCCTTGTTTCCTTCCTCTCTCCCCCCCTCCCTCCCTCCCTCCCTCCCTCCCTCCGTCTCTCTCTTCTCTCCCTCTTCTCTCCCACCCTTTCCCTTCTTTTCTTGCTGCTTGCTTGCTTGCTGCAGTTTTGAGGATGGAACACAGAACATCACACATGTTAGCTGAGCACTCACCACTGAGGTGCCCCCCAGTCCTTTTTTATTGCATTTTGAGACAGGGTCTTACTAAATTGCCCAGGCTGATGTCGAGCTTGTGAACTTCCTGCCTCACCCTCCCAAGTGAACTAGGATGACAGGCATGCACCACCATGGCCAGCTTGACCTTGTTTCTTGACCCCAGCATCTCCCACAGCTTCACTACATCCTATGGGGTTTCCTCTTCCTTTCTTGGGCCAGACCCCAGGGTGCACTGCCCCGCCCCTCCTCTCTCTGTGACCCTACCCTGCTTGCCCCACCAGCACCCAGGATTCATCCTGCTCCCTGCCCTGGCACTGCCTGCCCTCAGCCTCCCAGACTCCCTGCCTGGCCGAGGCCCCGCATCCTTGTTGCCTTGTTGGCTCTGTCACTCAGTGTCTGCATGGCTCCCCCCTCCCAGCCACTGCTGCCCCAGGAAAGCCCAGGCCTCTGCAATCCCTCCAGAGCTGCCCACCTGCTGCGCATCTGGGTAGTCATACCTCTGACTCTGCCACAGTGGGGGCTTGTAATGGGCACAAGCTGCCACCAGGGAAGCTGGCTGCAGGGATAGGCAGCAGAGCCACCCCACAGTGGGGAAGTGAGCAGGTGGCCCAGCTGCTAGGACAGGGCTGCCTTGGGGACCAAGCCTTTCCCAGAGGAGCTCAAGCCCTGTTTGCCAGCCCTGCTGCAATGTTCTCCACTCACCGCCGCCCCCAGCTCCCGGGTTCAGGTGAGGGATGCAAGCTGCAGAAGCTCAGAGCAGGGCCACCCAAAGGTGCTGGGCTGCACGCTGAGGAGGGGCTTCACCCACAAGGCCAAGTGTGATGGGCAACAGCTCCACCGCTGGCACTGTTTAACCAGGTGATAGTGTCCAAAGGGGAGCGGGGAGAGGCCCGTAGGGCCAGGCTGGGGCCGGGGGGAGCTCAGGGCTTTGTGCCTTTCGCACCTCTCTGCCCTCCCAGCCCCACCAAGGCCTTTCCCACAGCCCCATGTGCTGTCCTCCTGCCCCTGGGCCAGTCACCACTCAAGCCTTCCTCCTGTCCCACCTCCAGCCGTGGGTGGGGCATGTGCCTGGATGACCACCCAACCACTGATGTCATCGACTTCCCCTCTGTGCCGCCCGGGGTCCTGTACGATGTGGACCACCAGTGCCGCCTCCAGTACGGGGCCAATTCCATCTTCTGTGAGGACGTGGACGTGAGTGTAGCAGGGGACAGGAGGGTGCAGGGATGATCATCAGCAGTTGGGGATGCGGCCAGGGAGAAGCCCCGCTTGCCCTCCTCCTCAGAGCGCCCCAGACAGTGGCCCATGGGAAGGGCCTGGGGCGGACTCTGGGTCAACCATCCCCGAACGGTGGGGCCATGGGTGCCTTCCTCAGCCTGCCACTGGCTTTGCACTCTGAGGTCCTGGGGCAGACTGTGTGATGTCTCGGCCACGGCCTGTGATAGACATCTGACTTCTCAGGGTTCCTCCCAGAGGACAGGCGGGGCTGAGGTGTGCACCATGTGGTCCAGATGTGGGGGAGACAGGGAAGACAGGGCACCTCCGGGGTGCAGACCCCCATGGTGTGCCCGCCCACGGAGCAGTGTCCAAGGGGCCCTTGGGGACAGCAAGGGAGGTGAGTGTGTGGTAGCCCTAGGACAGGGGTGAAGGTGTGACGCTGCCTCCTCCCTACAGAACGTCTGCCACACTCTCTGGTGCTCCGTGGGATTGACGTGTCACTCCAAGCTGGACCCTGCTGTGGACGGCACCAAGTGCGGGCATGGCAAGGTAGGGGATGGTCGTCCGTCCCCCAAGCTGTCGGGAGAGAGCTGACTTTCCCTGGGCCACTGCTCTTGGGTCACCCCTGCCTCACGGTCCAGCAGACCCCTACCCCTCTCTGGCCCAAGCATGCAAGACAGAGGGCTTGGGGACAGGGCCTGATGCCATGATTCTCTAAGGCACCTTCCCTCAGTCACAAGTGGGCTCCCTCTCATCCTTGCCCAGCCTGACCCTGGTCCTGGAACAGGCACAACCATGGGGGCCTCTCACACCTTCCATCTTTCCCCACTGTCCACCCACTTTATTCTCACTAGCAAGAGGATGACTGATGGGTGTGGGGGGTTGCTGTGTCCCCATCTGTCTTGGCAGTGGTGTTTTAATGGGGACTGCGTCCCTATGGGTTTCCGGCCTGAGCCCGTGGATGGCGGCTGGTCCGACTGGAGCGCCTGGTCCGTCTGCTCACGGAGCTGTGGAATAGGTGTGCAGAGTACTGAGCGGTGGTGCACACAGCCTGAGTGAGTGGGGGCATGGGTGCCTGGGGTTGAAGGACTGGGCAGACTCTGAAGGCTGGCAGGGTCCCAGTGGTGATCCCATTGCTGAGAAATTGGGACAATGCATCAGATGCCACAGGGGCACCTGGCTGGAGAGCGGTTGGAGAGGGCAGTGGTCAGCACTTGGCCAATAGACCTTAGAGAGACCAGGGCTCAGGTCTGCTCCACCCCGAAGTAGAGGGCCTTCTCCAAGCCTGTTTCCCTGGATTTGTCCACCTGGTATAAAGTAGCTCTCAGGGTGAATCCCATAGACCATATGGGTGCAGCTAGTGTGTGGTGAGCATTCAGCAGGCACCCTCAGTGCACCAGCCGTGCCATGTGGGTCTGGGATGGGGCTGCTGCAGGAAGGGCTGGCTGTGTGGCCTGCGGTGAGTGGTGGCCCCTCCTTGGACTGTTTCCCCTCTGAAGACATCAGTGAGAAGCCAGTGTGGCACAGGCCCAGCAATGTGGCAGCTGGGCCAGCGGGATTCAGAACCCCCTCCTGCAGACACACCCTGCCATGCCCCCTCCTCTGCCAGAGTGGGCTGGACCCTGGCCTAGAGGAGTGGAGGTGGGCATGGTCCCCAGGCATGGATGCACCCTGAGGGAAGGCTAGGGTGCTGGGTCTTGGGCACCAGTGCCGGCCATGTCCACTGTGCCCCAGCCTCTCACAGCTCCCCCCGCCCCAGAGCAGCCCCAGCCCCTTTTATAGAGAGGAACCTGAGACGGCCCAGGCGTCCTGCAGCTGCTCTCTGTTGAATCCTCACCAACAGGGTAGAGATGGGGGCTGCCTGGCCCGGGAGGAGGGGTCAAGCCCTGCAAGACCCTGAGCATGGCCCACCCACTCTTCACAGGCCCAAGTACAAGGGCAGGTTCTGCGTGGGCGAGCGCAGGCGCGTGCGCCTCTGCAGCCTGCAGGCCTGCCCTCAAGGCCAGCCTTCCTTCCGCCATGTCCAGTGCAGCCACTTCGACTCCAAGCCCTACAAGGGCCAGCTGCACACATGGATACCCGTGTTCGACTATGGTGAGTCCTCCACCCTGGGGACACTGAGGCCCTAGCGCTGGGGACATGTGGGTCTCAGTTCCTCAGTGATGCAGGCGGGTGGCCCGGTCATCACCCCTGCTGTCCCCAGGGTCCCACCCCTCCTAGCACCACATGTGGCCACTTGCCCGCCCACAGCCTCTCAGCCTGTCATGGGCGCATGTCAAGGAGGGGTCTTCCTGCCGGGCTCGTGACCCTAGCCTGATGAGTCCCCCTTCCGCAGGAAACCCCTGTGAGCTGAACTGCCAGCCCTCCACCGAGCACTTTTCCGAGAAGCTGCGTGACGCTGTGATTGACGGCACCCCCTGCTACAAGGATCAGACCATCCGTGACCTCTGCATCAACGGAATCTGTAAGGTGCGCTTGGACAGTGAGAGCAGTGCCCAGCACCACCTGCACCCAGCCCCCTGGAGAGCTCCAGCTGCTCCTCTGGGTTCTTCCTGGCCCCATTACCCCAGGCTGCACCCTTGGGAGTCCTCGCCTCTCCCCTCATGACCTCAAAGGCAAAGCCCTCCGTCACCCAGCACTGCAGAACCACCAAGTCGGCCTCCCCCGGCCTCCCTACCTGGGCTCCCAGCTGTCTGCCTTCAGTGGCAGCCAGCCCAGCACAGCCCTAGCTGGGAACCAGAGCCCAGACAGTATTCATCCTCTTGCTGGCTGGAGGAGTCCGGGCAACAGTTTCCTCCACCATGGGAAGGGTTAGAAAGTGGTACAGGCCTTGAGCTGACAGAGGAAGCACTGTGCTTGGTAACAATTCTTAGTCTCACTTTGGAGCCCAGCCACCTCTTGCCCCTGCTTCTTTTGCTCTGTGCCACTGGTGTGGCGTCCTGGCCTCAGGAGGCTGGCTGCCCGTGCTGGGCCGCGGGCCTCGACAGTGAGCCTAGGAACCCCGTGTGCCCGCTCCCCACCCACCTCTACCATGCTAAGGCTCACCACATGCCCCCAAGGCATGGGCTGGCCCTGCTTCACCTCTAGGGAATCAGCTCAGAGGGGTCGGATTGCACAGTGGGTGGGCAAAGTCCCAAGGGAGGATCGGTGCCCAGCACCAGGCCTTGGCTCCCACCCGCTGTTGCAGAGCGTGGGTTGTGACTTCGAGATTGACTCGGGTGCTGTGGAGGACCGCTGCGGAGTGTGCCATGGCAACGGCTCCACCTGCCACACTGTGAGCGGCACCTTCGATACGGCGGAGGGCCAGGGTACGGACGGGGCCGCCGTGGGGGCTGCACTTGACCAGGGGCCTCTCCCCCACTGCTGGCCCTGCTCTCGGCCCCTACAGTCCCCCCAGACTGGAGAGTCTTGGGGTGGGGGGGTCCTCCTGTCCCAGGGGCCCCAGGCCGGCCAGGTAAGCCTGGGTATGGTCCCAGTCCCTGCAGAAGGTGCCGTCTACCTATGCAGAGATGGAGGCCACCCCAGCTCCGTGCCTCCCCTTCGGGCCCCACTGCTTAAGTGCAACCCTGAGAGAGGTGATGGGGCACCCACAGTCTGACAGGGTGACAGCCTTCACCGTGACGGATCAGCGTAGGGATGTTCAGAGGGTGGTGGGAGCTTTCAGGGCAGAGGCCCCGTCCCGGGAGGGTGGGAGGACTTCCTGTGGGAGGCGGACACAGCTGAATGAGGAGGGACCCAGGCGAGGTGGTGAGTGCAGTGAGGAAGGCTGTTCGAAGCCTGGGGCAGGAGCACGTGTGCGCGGCCTTGCCCAGGCCCCAGGAGGCAGGCCGGCTTGGGGCCTTGAATGCCAGGCCTGTAGCTTAGCTTTCTTCCTGGAGGGGCAGCATGGCCTGGTGGTTACCACACAGCCCCCGTGCCTGCTTCCTATTCCAGCAGCAGTGTTGTCCAGGCTGCCTACCCTCTCACGTCCCAGACTCCGCAGCTACGAAGTGGGGGTGATGATGGTGGCCTGTGACGGGCTTGTCTCCCCGAGCTTACACAGTTGAGTCCTAGGAGTCACCCAGCCAGCTGTAAGGGGCTCCTTACCCAAAGAGCAGCAGGCCTGTGGGGAGGAGGGAGCTGAACTGGAAGGAAGGCCCGGGAGTTTTAAAAGACTTTGCAGGCCTGGAATGTAGGGCATGTACCCAGCTGGTGACAGTGAGACTAACAGAGGCCCCCAGGAGAGGATGATGGGCATGGGCCACGGAGGCAAGGTTTGTGGGCCTTGGGAGCCTCTGGTGACCTGGGATAGACCTGGCATCCGCCTTAGGGGAGCTCAAGCTTGAGCTAACAGTGGGGCTGTAGGGAAGGGCCAGGGCCGGCCAGCCTCCCACCTGGTGGCCTGTGCATACCCCCGACCAACAGGGTACGTGGACGTGGGGCTGATCCCCACTGGAGCTCGTGACATCCACATTGAGGAGGTGGCCGAGGCCGCCAATTTCCTGGCCCTGCGCAGCCACGAGGACCCGGACGAGTACTTCCTCAACGGTGGCTGGATCATCCAGTGGAGTGGGGATTACCAGGTGGCGGGCACCACCTTCACCTACACCCGCACAGGCGACAGAGAGAACCTCACCTCCCCGGGCCCCACCAGTGAGCCTGTCTGGATCCAGGTGCTGCGTCCCGGGGTCTGTCGGGGGTTGCAGAGGTGGGATCCCCCACCCCACCCCACCGCCCAGCCCGCCAAGGCAGGGTGTGGTCCTGGGGGAATGAGTCTGAGGTGGCACACAGCTGGCTCTGGGTGGGGCCCTGTTGCTAAGCCCTCTGCCTCAGTTTCCCCAATGCTGAAGTGGCACCATAGAGTAGCCCCAGTTGGCAGATGGAGGGGTGCTCACAGGGCTCCCCGACCTGTCCCAGCTGCTGTTCCAGGAGTACAACCCTGGGGTGCGCTACGAGTACACAATCCACAGAGAAACTGAGAACCTCAGTGTGGTGCCGCCACCTGAATTCTTCTGGCACCACGGGCCTTGGAGCGAGTGCACAGTCACCTGCGGCACAGGTGGGATGGGGCAGGCAGAGCCACCGCCTGGCTGATGCTGGCTGACCTGAGGTCTGGACACAGGCCGAGCCCACACCTCGGCCAAACATGACCCTCACACAGGCTTCAGGGAAGTTGTACAGTCACTCCCACCACACAAACGAGCTCCTGGGCCTCACCCAGAACCCTCCACAATCTACCTACCACCTATCCCAGGGCATCTGGCATGGGGGCTGCACCACAGGGAGGGGGAGGAGGGGGAAGCAGCCCCTAATCCTGACACAGGCAGGCCCTGTTCTAGGGGTGCCTGGCCTTGGGGTGCAGGGACAGCCTGGGCAGGGGCTCACCCATGTGAATCCCCAGGTGTGCAGAGGCAGATCGTGTACTGTGTGGAGAAGCAGGCAGGGCTGGTGGATGAGAGACACTGTGACCCCCTGGCCCGGCCTGATGACAGCCACAGGCCCTGCAGTGAGGAGCCCTGCCCCGCCCGGTGAGCTGCCCACCAGCTCCTGCTGTTCTGATTCCAGGAGGAAAGACCAGGCTCACAACTGAAGCCCCTGTTGTCCCTGGTCCTGGCTTGGGTTTTGGGTGGCCCTAGGCAGGCAGCTTTGCTCTAGACACCCCAGTCACTCCTCTTTGGGACCCTGGGTGTGGAAAGAGGCCTCAGGCCTTGCACAGGTTCACTGGGGAGGGCAGCAGGGATGAAAGAGCCATGTCCTGTCACCAGGCTTCAGGGACACAGATCCACCTAGGCTTGGAGCTCTGGGGACTCATCCTCTGGACCCCAGGGCTGGCTTTCCCCACTCAAGAGTCTGCCAACGCCCATCCCATAGCATGCTGATGCCACCCTATGCCCTCAACAGGTGGTGGGCTGGGGAGTGGCAGCACTGCTCCCGCTCCTGTGGTTCCAAAGGTGTCTCCCGCCGGGCTGTGCTCTGCCTCCAGAGTGTGGGGATGGAGGAGCAGAGTGCCCTGGACCTTTCCGCCTGCGAGCACCTTCCTCGACCCCCCGCCGAAACCCCTTGTTACCCCAATGTGCCCTGCCCAGCCACCTGGGCTGTGGGCAACTGGTCTCAGGTGAGTGGGGGCAGTAGGAGCCTGCCCTGGATGGGAGGCAGAGGACCTGTGAGAACCCTCATTGCCTGGGCCCCAGGGTGGTGCGGGAGGTCGGGGCACTCAGGGCTGTGTGCCTACCCTGAAGCCTTAGCCACAGACAGTGGGCAGTGTGTGGTACCCACCATGCCTGTGTCCTCTGGCAGCGCTCTGCTGCCCCCAGCCCTCACCATGGCCTCCCCACAGTGCTCAGTGACATGTGGGAATGGCACTCGGCAACGAATTACCATCTGTACCAATGACACGGACCTCCCCTGTGATGAGGCCAACCGGCCAGCAACTGAGGCCTCCTGCGCCCTGCAGCCCTGCCAGAACATGCTGGTCCCCGAGGCCTCTGGCAGTGGTGCCACCAGCCCCGAGCTCTTCAATGAGGTCGACTTCTTCTCAAACTCCCTGGCTGAACACCCCCTGCCCAACTCCACGCCTGAGTCAGACAGCATCAGCAATCGCATTGAGGACCTGAACCCACCTGGGCCCGTGTGGGTGGATGACTTCTACTACGACTATAACTTCATCAATTTCCACGAGGACTTGTCTTATGGAACCCCTGAGGAGCCCAACCTAGACCTGGTGGAACAGATGCCTCCACCCCAGAGCAGCCCTGCTGAGCACCCCATGGAGTCCCCCAGAGCTGAGGAGGGGGCAGAGCAGGGAGCTGGCCACCTCTCACCCCCGCCCTTGCAGCAGCTCCCCGGGAGCCTGCTAGTCCCTTCCCTGTCTGAGGAAGATGCCCCCATGGCTGCCCCTGATGTTGGGCTCCCTATTTCGGTCACAAGCACAGAGATACCCACTGCCCCTGTGAGCCCCAACAAGCTCCTAGTGAGGGAGGACAGCCAAAGCCAGCCACCCCTGCCACACTGGGACGGGACCAATGACATCTCCAAGGACAGGGAAGAGACTGCAGGCTACAGAGCACCCCACCTGCCCCAAGGCCCTGGCTCCATGCAACCCCCTTGGCCCCCTGTCCACCCCACCCCCAACTTTCCTGATCCGAATGTGCTGCTGCAGACAACAAGGACCATGACCTGGGACCCCACACTGGAGAGGGACCCACGCAGGAAGATGTGGCCCACAGCAGGGGTGGCTACTCCCTCTCCTCTTAACACCACCCCTGTGCCCAGGAGCTGGGACCAGGACAGCCCCCTGACAGTGACAGGGACCATCCCTCCAACCGATGAGGAGAGCCGCCCCTCAGACCCACCCGCCGGGAATGCCAGCTGGCAAGTGGGGAACTGGAGCCAGGCAAGTGGTGCAGAGCTAGGCTGGGTTCCTGTCCATCTGCTCCCAGGTGGACAGAGATGCATGCTGCATGGAGGCTGAGGCAAGCAAAGCCTTGCCCCAACCTGGGGCAGGTTTCTCCTCTGAGCAGTGACATGGAGGAGGACCCCATGTGTCCCAAGAGGCCCGTTCCCGAGCAACATGGGGCTGTGAGGATGGCAGCAGCAGGCACCAAGAAATGCATGCTCGCATGCCCTCAGGGACAGGGAGCTCACCTCCAGCTATGGTGTGGGAGGGGGGAATCTACAGATTTGCCACCTGGCAGTCTCCTCAGTGGCTCCACTGCTTTGTCAGGAACCCACAGAGGATGGGAAGGAGCTGGCCTGAGCGCCCTCCCGGGTCCCCAGGTTTGTCACTGCAAGAGAAACAAGGGCCTGTTCAGGCCCCCAGCCTTAGGGAGAGAGGGACAGGCTGGAGCCTAGAGCTGGCTTTGCCTGGGGTTTCTAGCGAGTGGGCTGCCAGGACCAGGACCAGGACCCGGACCCGGACTACTTTCTTAGAGTCTAAGATCAACAAGCCCTGTCAGTGGGGCGGGGCCCTGCAGGTCCCTCGTGGGCAGGGTGGGTGGCAGGATTCTGCCTCTTTCTCAACATCTCCCTAGGTGAAGGGTGGAGGAGTCCATCTTGCAGATAAGGGAACCAGGGCCCAGGTGAGGGGCCTATTGTGGCAGAGGCAGCTTCACCAAGTGGGTCAGTCCCCTGGCTGTAGGAGGCCAGGGACCGAGTGGGGACCTGGCTGATGTTCATGGCCTCTATGCCCACAGTGCTCCACTACCTGTGGCCTGGGTGCAGTCTGGAGGGCAGTGTACTGCAGCTCTGGCCGGGACGAGGACTGCGCTACTGCTGGACGGCCCCAGCCCGCCCGCCACTGCCACCTGCGGCCCTGCGCTGCCTGGTACACAGGCAACTGGAGTAAGGTGCATGCAGGGGAAGCCAGGGTATAGCCCTGGTGCAGGGTGAGGCCCTGCACCCCAGAAACAGAGTTTTAGAGTAGCCAGGCAGGGGCTCCACACACCCATCTGTGCACTGACTCTTTGACTCCTGATGTCTTTGGAATCTTCAGTTTCAGCATGACCCAGCCCGGCGCCTGCTCCTGCAGGCATCTCCTCCCTCCCAACTCCTCTAGATTTCCCTTTTGCCAGCTCTCCTTTGCCCCCTTGTCCACCTGACCCAGCCTGCAGCAGCCCCTGGCCTCCCACTTGCTGCCCAGGGCTGGCCCCTCCCAGTTGCTCCTTGGGGTTTTGCCTTGGGCTTGGTGGGGACAAGGTCTGACATCTGCCCAGCCACACTCATCAGTTATGTGTGTGCACGTGGGTTGCATCCACACGTCCCTAGGCACCCGTGTGTGCATGTGCTTGGTGTGTCACGTGTGTCCGTCCCCCAGTGTTCCCGCAGCTGTGGTGGAGGCTCTGCGGTACGGGACGTGCACTGTGTGAACATACAGGACCTCCAGCCACTGCGGCCCTTCCACTGCCAGCCTGGGCCCGCCAAGCCACCCCACCAGCAGCCCTGCGGAACCCGCCCCTGCCTAAGCTGGTACACCTCCTCCTGGAGAGAGGTGAGGGGCGTCTAGGGTGGAGCTGGTCCTCCTGAAGTCCCAGCTGTGCTGATCCAGCCGTGCTGACACCTCCCCTCCCGGCCAGTGCTCTGAGGCCTGCGGTGGTGGCGAGCAACAGCGTCTGGTGACTTGCCCGGAACCGGGACTCTGTGAGGAGGCGCTGAGACCCAATGCCACTCAGCCCTGCAACACCCACCCCTGCACAAAGTGGGTGGTAGGACCCTGGGGCCAGGTGAGCTGGGCTGCAGGGAGGGGCGGTGAGCTGGAAGAATGAAGTGCAGGATGTGGAACGGCCAGGTGCCAGGACACCAGGGAAGCCTGCGGGGGGAGGATTGGGGTCGAGAACCAGCAGAGGGTCAGAAATGCCAAGAAGAGGGGCAAAGAGTCAGCAAATGAAGGTCCTGAGCCAGAGACCATGGGACAAGGGGACAGAGAGGGCCCCCCTGGTAGGCAGGACTCCTCCCTCTTGGACCTGTCTGGAGCCTAGAGGTTCAGGAATTTCAGGTTTGCCCCTGAACCCGGCCTTGAGGGCAGCACGGCCTGCATCCAGGTCCTGGTCCCAGAAGCTGCTGAGTGACTAGCAGGTGGCTTTGCCTCGCTGGACCACGCTTGTCCCATCTTAAAAATGGGGACAGTGTGAGGGGGGAGGGAGGGAAACATAAATGAAACAGCACAATTAAGTACGAGGCCCACCCAAGTCAGCAGATGAAACTTGTTCTCGGGTCTTTTCACAACACCAGGGCCCCAGCTGAAGAGAACAAAGCCCGATTCGGGAAGAGGCTCGGGCTGAGAAACTTCTTGCCTTTTCTGCCCCCCTCTGCTGCCCTAGGGCCCTGTGGTTCCTGTCCAGATCTCTGGCCACTCTGCCAGGCAGGGCTCACTTCCGTGCACATTTCCCCTGTGTGGGAGCAGGTCCTGCGGTGCACACCCTGCCGCACTCTCCACACCATGGGGGCTGCTAAGGCCCAGGGCACTGCCCGGGAAACCCACGCTCCCCCTGGGGGGCTGGTGCCAGGCCTCTCCTCCCCTCCCACGCAGTGCTCAGCACCCTGTGATGGAGGCGTCCGGCGGCGCCTAGTCAAGTGCATCAACACGCGGACAGGGCTGCGTGAGGAAGACAGCGAGCAGTGCGGCCACGAGGCCCAGCCCGAAGGCTCCCGGCCATGCAGCGCAAAGGACTGTGAGGTCGCGGGGGGCCCACGTGAGTGCCCCGTCTCCCAGCCCTCGCTGTAGGTGGGGTGAGGGGATGAGGAAGCCATCTCAAAGCACTGCGGGGCGCGCCCTATAGTATGGACTCCAGCACCATGTGGCCATCGTGACGGGGAGGCAGAAGGGGCTCCGTGCTGAAACCAGGCCTCCTGGTGGGGGAGGGGCTGCTCAGCTGAGCCAGTGATCACAGGCAGCTTCTCCAGCAGCAGGGGAGTGGGGATGAGGGACCCTAAAACCGTGTGCCCTTAGGTGAGCCCTTTTCCCTCCTGGGAAAGGCAGGATGTCCCAAGGCCCCCCATTCCCAGCTAGCCAGATGAGGAAGCCAGGAGTGAGTAAAGGGACTACAGGAAGGGCCTCCCCCAGGGTGCTGTGGGCTCCTAGTGCTGCTTGCTTCCTGGCCAGCTGGATCCTTTGGGCAGGCAGAAGGGCCTGGGCCAGAGGTGGCTCGGACCCCAACCCCCACTTCCTTCCTGAGCCACAGCTGCCCCCAGCAGTGCTCAGCACAGGAAACCCCGTGGCCTTGGACTCGCACCTGCACAAATGGGCTCTGGGGTGAAGGTCCAGCTCTGTGAGGCACCTAGAAGGGTCACCAGGGTGGGTCTGAGGGTCTCTGAGGGTCTCCTGTAGAATAAGTAGTGTTTCCTTGACTCTATCATGAGAAAAGAATTTGTAGGACTCTTCAGTAGGAGGGAAGAGAAAGGTTTATTAGATGGAGATTTTAGGACACACTCAAGAGTGGAGTACAGGAAATGTGCCAGAAGTGGTTATATTTAAGGGTGTCTTTGAGATGGGTGATCTAAGGTATATATATTCTTGCTGTCTATGGGTCACAACACAAGCCGTGTACATGTGTTTAAAGTTGAGATCTGCTGTCCACCAATATTGCTGCTTCCTAGTGAATGGAGGAAGCACAATTTACAAGTGAAAAGGACAGGTCCAGAACTCAGCTTTACAGGCTCATTGTGTCTTTAAGACCTTCAGAAATCTTTTTTTTTTTTTTTTTTTTTTTTTTTGGAGTTTCTTGGAAGGGAAAAAGGCTTGAGTAACTTGTGTTTTGAAGATGCAGTTAAGCACAATTTTAAAATTCTGATTTCCTTGTCTCCTTTCTACCTAGTTTTTATATCTTCTACCTAAGAGGTGCTCAGGGTAGGTGACTTCTTCCTCTCTTTGTGGCAGCCACTGCTGTCCTATATTGTAGTCAGGGAGAACCCAGGACCACCTGTGCAACAAAAACACAAAGGCATGGCATCCCATGCACAGAACAGCGCTCCTGCCTGCTGGCTGTCCCGGTCCTAAGGACAGTGTGGCTGTTGGTCAGGCCAGGGTGTCCAGCAATCACACCAGCCTGCCCTCCCTCCTTTGCTCCGTATAGCATCCTCCACTAGTTGCCAGCTGCCAAGTGGCCATGCCTTGCTGCACTGCCCCTGGCAGGAATGTCCCTCCCACCTCAACTCCATGGCCTCAAGGCCCTACAGAAGTGCCAGCCACTGAGCCCGCCCATGCTGCTCCTGTCTCAGCCCTGTCCTGCATACAGCCTGGAGCTGGAGGAGACTGCGCTCCTGTCCCACATATGGGGACTGGGGTCCACAGGAAGTTGGGTGGTGAGGACCCAATGGGTAGCAGGAATTAAGAACAAGCCTAGCTTGGGGGGACTGGGCTTCATAGTCTCCCGGGCACGGTGGACTGTAGCGGGGACTTGCAGGGCAAGGAGGTGGTTGAGCAGGCAATGCTCCCAAGTGAGTTTTCTGCCACAGTGAAGATGCCCTGGGGATGTATCTTGAGCTCTGAGACCCGTGGAATTTCCAGGATGCTAGGATTGTCGTGTGACTGTGGCAGGACATTTGGAAACCCTGGGACCTCAGGGTGTGTGGTCACCTTGTCAATGGAGGAAACAGGCCTGAGAGGCTAAGAACCTTGCCCAGATCCTCAGGGGACTAGAAGTTAATTCTGCAGAGCTCTGAACACAGCAGGGTGGGGTGGCTGCATTCCTTGGGCCCAAGTCTGTGGTAAGCAGGGCAGGAGGCAGCTGGGGGCCATCACCAGCACAGGAAGCAAGATCTGAGGCCTGGAGGCCATGTCCCAAAATAGATGCCTCAGGGCAGGAGGGTCCCCAGCCCTAGTCCCTGAAAGCCTACAGCTCCCTCTCCAGTGCTCAACTTGAGTGTCCCCTTGTAATTAGTTGGGGATCCTGGGGTGCTGTTTCCAGGTTGTTGGTGTCCCAAACAAAACTGAGCAGACAATCAGAAGGAACAGCAAGGGTAAGATGTATTAAAGGGAAAGCATGGGCTGGGGATTTAGCTCAGTGGTTCCAGTGCCTGCCGCACAAGCGCAAGGTCCCGAGTTCAATCCCCGGTACCAAAAAAAAGGGAAAGCAGCAAAAGACACTCCTGAGGAAGAGCTCACTGCCTGTAGTGGCAGTGCTGGCTCTCTCTGACTTGGGGTTATGGGAGGTCCTGTCGCTGGGATTGACAGGAGTCCTGGCCCAGTGGGGTACTGACTAAGCCTACCTGTCAGCAGGGAGGTTCTGACTATGCAAGGTTTTTAGAGATCAGAGTGTCCAAAGCCCACTGTGTGTGTGTGTGTGTGTGTGTACACAAATGAGGCTGGACCCAGGCCAGTCTTGTCATTTTGGTTTTGCGCATGCCTGGGGTTCCTGGGGGAACAGGGTGACCTTTATCTGTTGGTTTCCTGATGTTTTTGATGTCATCGTCCTGGGTTGGTTTGCTCTCAACTCTTGCCCCAGAGCTTCCTGTTGTTCACTTGTCCTTGCTCTACCTCCTATCTCACCCTGATGGCTTTTGTGGCTGTACACAAGGCCCACTCCCAGCATTTCACTGCCTGCAGGAAGTGGAAGGCAGGCCGGGGGGGTGAGCCTCTGATCTGGCCAGAGAACCAGAAGATGAGGCCCAGTGTGGCCCCCAAATGGGGAGGTGATGCCTAAGGCCCAGCTTGGTGTCCAGGGCACTGAGAGGTGGCATGGCTGTGGAACACAGACTACTGCAGACTGGCAGAACTGCCTGAGACTCAATGGTGTGCCAGGATTTGTGAGGTACTAGGGATAAGCAAGGATGAGGGGATACAATCCCTTGGGTGGACCCTTTTGGTACCTGAGGTGGTCTAGATGAGGTCTGCTAAGATGGGCTAGGATGGGGGTCTTCTGGGGTAGTCTGGAGGGTACAGGTCAGCCAAGATGGTCTAGGAAGGGATACACTAAGGTGGGCCAGGATGGGTCTCCTGAGGCAGCATAGGGTGGCTTATTTGAAGTGGTCTATGATGAAGTCACCTGAAGTGGTCAAGAATAGGGTCTCCTGGGCCAGGGATTTAGCTCAGTGGTTCCACTGCCTGCCTTGCAAGCGTAAGGTCCCAAGTTTGATCCTCGTACCAAAAAAAAAGAATAGGGTCTCCTGAGGTGAGGCAGGGGTCACCTGAATGGTTTAGAATGGGGTCTCTTGAGGTGGTCTAGGATGGAGTCACCTGAGGTGAAGGTTAGGATGGGTCACCTACTATGGTCTACAATAGTCACCTGAGGTGGTCCTGGCTGAGGTTTCCTGAGGAGAGTTAAGATGGGTCACCTGAGATGGTCTAGAATGGATCTGAGGGGTAGGATGGGGTCTCTTGAAGTGAAGTGGGTTAGGATGAGTCACCTAAGCTGGGCTAGGATGAAGGCTCTGGAAGTGGAACAAGATGGGTCACCTAAAGTCTACAATGGGGGTCTCCTGAGGTGACCTTGGATAGACTCCTTGGATTGTCTCCTAGGGTGAGGAGGAATAGGATAGCTCACCTAAGTAGTCTAGAATAGGACTTCCTGAAGTGATCAGGATGATCTTCTGAGAAGGGCTAGGATGGGGTCTCCTGAGGTGAGATGGGCCATGATGGGTTTCCTGAGTGGTTTAGAATGGGGTCTCCTGAGGTGGGCTAGGATGACTCACCTGAGGTGGTCTAGGATGGGTCACCTCAAGTGGGCTAAAATGGGGTTTCCTAAGGTGGTCTGGGATGGGGTCCCCCGAGGTGAGGTGGGCTACAATGGGAGCTCCAGAAGTGGTATAGCATGGGTTACCTGAGGTAGTCCTGAATGGAATCTCTTTAGGTGAGGTAGGCTAGGCTAGGTCATCTGAGTGGTCTAGCATGTGGTCTCCTTAAGTGAGGTGGGCTAGGATGGTGTCACCTGATGTGAGGGGGGTTAGGATGGGTCACCTGAATGGTCTAGAATGGGCCCTCCTGAGGTGTGGTGGACTAAGATGGACAAGGGTTAGTATGGGGTCACCTGAAATCCAGGATGGAGTATCCTGAGGTAAGGAGTTAGGATGGGTCACCTGAGTGGTCTAGAATGGGGTTGAGGTGAGATGGGCTAGAATAGGAGCTCCTGCAGTGGTGTAGGTTGGAGCCCACTAATATGGGTTATGATGAAATCTCCTAAGGTGAGATGGGTTATGATAGTTTCTTCTGAGGGCTAGGATGGGTCACCTGAGATGGTCCTGGATGAGGTTTCCTGAAGTGAAAACAGGATGGATCACCTGAGCTGTCTAGAATGCGGTTTCCTGAGGTGTTCTAGGATAGATCGCCTCAGATTGGCTAGAATGGAAGCTCCTGAGGTGAGATGGGCTAGAATCAGGTTTCCTGAGGTGGTCCTGGATGATATATCCTGAGGTGAGGAGCATTAGAATGGGTCACGTGAGTAGTCTAGAATGGGGTTTCCTTAGATGGGCTAGGAAGGGGTAGGTCACCTGAGGTGGTCTAGGTTGGGGTCACCTCAGGCGGTTAGGATGGGCTCTCAGGTGGGATGGACTAGAATGGGTCACCTGAGGTGATCCTGGCTGGGGACTCCTGAGGTGGTCTAGGATGGGCTCACCTCAGGTGGGGTCCTTTATCTAGGATGGGGCCTTAGATAAATCTAGGTGTCCCAAGGTTCTCTAGGATGAGTCTCCTGATGAGAGCTAAGATGGAGTCTCGGTGCCTTTCTTCCAGGAACCTGAGCTGCACCCTGCCAGCTCTCCAGTCCTCAGGCCCAGTCACAGGCAAGTGTGACAGGGACAGCCACGGCTGGTGACCTGCAGGTCTAGGGCCATGAGAGCTCCTCCACAAACAGGAGGGCAGGGTCTTGTGCCCTGAAGTTGCCTGCTGATGTCTCAAGACGGGAGTTAGAGGGCAACACAATGTCCCAGGAAGTCCCTCACCCTGGCACCTGGCCCATTACCTGAATTGTACCCGCCCTCTGCCCAGGCTGTGAGCGAGACCACCTATCCTTCAACCTCTGTGAGCTCCTGCACATCATGGGCCACTGTAAGCTGCCTACCATTCGTGTTCAGTGCTGCCGTTCATGTCACCGCCTGGCCATGAAGGCTTGTCCCATGGCCACCAGTGGGTAGCCCACCGCTGACCAGGACCTGGGCAGAACACACAGACTGTCAGGCTGCCCATGACACACAGACCTCAGGGCCAGCCCTCATGCCCCATGGTGCTAACCCCACCCGCCTTAGGGCAGGCAGGGACCCCTCCCCTCAGGAAAGTTTTTTTATTATTGTAAAGGTTTGTGTGACGTTTGTTATTATTTTACATAAATTCTGTTCCAAAGCACAGCTTGGCTTCATCTTGGATCAGAGAACCTTAAGGAGAACCCTACCCTCCCATCCTTTGCCGATTCTCCTCATCCTGGACCCTGTGACCACAGCTGTGCCTCTGTTTCTGAGCAGCATGGCACTGAATGTGGACATGGAGGCCATCAGGCCAGAGGTGCATCTGGGGAGGCCACTGCAGAGGACTGGGCATGGGGCAGGATACAACTGATAAAGGGGTACAGTCTGGTTCCATCCACACCATTTACTTGGTGTCCACCACCCAGCCCTCCCAGAGCCCCACTCAGGCCCTCAGAAACCTGTTTCATAGGGTAGAGCCATATACACTCCCAAGCTGCAGAGCCCCTTGTCACCTTCAGGGGCTGCCCCCGCCTCCTTGGCTCTGCTAACTCCCACACAGTGTGGGGAGGGGGAAAGCCTGGACCTCCTTGCTCCTCCTGGTGCCTATCATTCCATTCCTTCATCTCCTCAGCGCTCAAGGTTGGGGCTGGGTTGGTTGTGCCCCCTTCCCCACTGCCAACTCTGGGCCCTAGGCTTCACCACACCGATTTGTGGCCCAGTGGCATGGCAATGTCATTCCATGGAGCCAGACTGAGGTGTATACATACCAGGGAGCAGCTGGGCATGAAGGTGCTCAGCCAGAAAGGACTGGACACTGTCCTCCCAGGCCCAGCCTCATCTACTCCTTCCCTCTGGCTGCAACCTTGGACCTTTCAACTCTTTTAAGTCTCCTCCTGGAAGGTGATAAGCCACTTCTCTGAGTTTGAGGGGATGCTGTCACACTCCATTCTCCAGTGTATATCCCCCAGACTATCAGGTTCCAGGGGTAGCATATGGGCACTCTGTGTGGGTTTTGTGGCATTGAGACTGGGATGGGCACACTGGGAACCACTCAATGGGCACTGAGACCATGGGACCATATCGAAGGGCAGAATAACCAGCACATCTATGCCAGAAAGGTGGGGAGTATGGGCACAGGGCCCTGCCCAGGTGTAGTGAAGCTGTGCACCTGCTATTCCCTGCCGCCTTGCCCACCTGATCCTAAATGTTCACTATTCCAGGTGAGAGCCCAAGTATGTGCCCAGATGGAGACCCCAAATCTTCATCCCCTCTTCTGAGCACTGGGTGCCCTCCACCGTGCCCAGTTTGCACCAGGCAGGACCCCACAGTGGCAGGAAGTCACCCGAGGTCTGTCAGGAAAGCATCAGGCCGACTTATTGTGTCTTTGTGAGGAGGTCCTGGGCACCCACAGAGTAATAACATCTCGGCTTCATCAAGCAGCAGACTTAACAAGGATGGGAGCAGGGGCAGGCATGGTGGTGTACCGCTGGGGTTCCCAGCACAGCTCTGCCACTGCTTTTGTGCAGAGTGACCTCAGGTTCCCCACAGAGAGCAGCTTACAGTCCTGGCCCACCTTGTGGACATCCTTGCTAGGGCCACCCCACCACCCCACTCTATGGAAAGACATTTGGTCTCAATCCTTATGTGTTTTTCCAGTGGTGGCTGAGATGTCCTCACAGTAGCAGCTGGGCCTGAACTGTCAGCTGGGCAAGAGGCAAACGAGCCATGACCAGGCAGACCTGGACAGCTGGTGGGAGGGCACCTGTCCTCTGCAGGGGCTTCTCTCATTGTCTGGGAACAGACAGTGTCTGGATCCTGGCTCCCACCACTGTCCTCAGACCTGACCTGTGGCCTGGCCTCGGCTCTTAGGTCCACCTGCAGCCACCGCTGCTGGCAGAGATATCCTGCCCCAGCCACTCCACTGGAATAGAGGGTAGAGATGCCCAGAGTCGATGGCCAGATTAGCAGGTAAATTCCTGCCCTTGGTATGGGCCCAAGCAGAACATTACATGAAGGAGTTTATTTTAACCTAAAGATCAGTACAGAAGCTGCTGTCATATCAAAGGACAGTCACCTGGCAGTACCCCTCGCATCCTCCCGCTGCCCAACAGTGAAATGCTCAGCACCCACTCCAGGCTTCCCACCTACCAGGGCCTTCCGGGCAGGTCCAACTGCACAGAAAACGGGGCAGGTCATGCAACAACACAAATGCTTCATTAAGAAAACCTGACTGGGGTTTGCCTAGGGTGCTTCCTATGATCAATATAACAGTGGAAACCAGTGTTTCTTGCAACCCGAAGTCCTGGCTGCCACTGTTCAGCTGTCAGCTTGATGATGCAGCACCCAAACTACCAGGGAAAGAAGGGTGAGGATGCAGTCCACACAGATACAGAGTGCTTGGCTGGAGGTAAAGGTGGCATAGAGGGAAGAGCAATTGGGAGGCTCAGGCTTACATAAATACATGCAAGGGGATCGTGCACACAAAATAGAACTTGTTATAGAAAATAGATGTACACAACCTAGAAAAACTTTGATAAAACAGCCTACAAAAATATAACTGTAGTAAAAATATACAAAAGTATTAACAGGTTCAACCCATTTAAAAACAACAAAAAACACTGACTGCTGAACTGGCGACTCCCCAAACCCTGGCACATGCATCTGTGGCCAGCAGGTGGAGACTACATGCAAGACGAGCAGTGTGTGCCAGCCTTGGCCAGAGGCTACTCAGGCAGCTGGTGGAGGGGCCTGAGAGGCACTGGGGACAGGAGCAGGTTATCTCTTCAGCGGTAGGAGAGCACAGGAAGTGTAGATGCAAAACTGGGGCTTTGGCCTATCCTGTCCCCAGCCTGGAACCTGGCAAACCCCTCCCCAACCCCCCTAACCCCCCCCCCCGCCGCCACTCAGAGCACTGTTCCAAGGAGGACCTCCAGGAAGGCTCCCAGTCCATCCCCAGATCGCTCTCCTCTCATACACTGCCTGGCCACAGAGCAGCCCCAGCTGTGCAGGCACTGTGGAGATGCATCTTTCCAGAGCAAGCTGGACCAAACAAGCTCATTCCTGAGGGGCTACTCATGGCCCCTGAACATTGCAGCTTGGGCTGGCACCTTGTGTGGGAAACTCACTTGGAAACTAGAAACTGGGCAGCTGGAGCTGACCCTGGAGGCACCCACCGACCCCTCTCCCTTACACCTTCTCAGCAGCTGTCCCCAGCCCTGGGAGGTGGGATGGGGACTGCCAGCAGGTGGCCCATACCTGAGAATAGTGGGAGACTGTGGCTCCCCATTCACAGGCTGACTTCTGGAGAAGCCAGGCCTCAAAAACCAACTCCAAAGACATACAATGGCAAGACATGTTTCTGACACCTGAAGAGACAAGCTCCCTCTGCAGAGTAGGGAAACAACTTCACCAAAGACAGAAGCTAAGCTCAGCCTAGCATGCTGAAGTACCAACCCAGTCATGAAACCGCTAGAAAGCTGACAAGGGGGTGGGGGTGGGGGGCTGATTACAGGAGCATTTCTTGAAACTGCATTGCCTCAATTCTTAGTCCAAATGTGTTTATATTAACTAGAGAGCATTCCAATTTTTTCCAGGTAGTGTAAAATGCTCCATGTAAGACTGTTTCTCTTGTGTTGAGTAACACTGTGCCAGAAAACATTTACTCAGAGCACCCACACCTCAGGGATGGTCCCAAGGGGTTCAACAAAAATAGCCAGGACCTGCCTGGCAGCCTGCCACGTCAGAGGCCACATGGACCCCACATCTTCTAGGACAAGGCTGTCTGGCAGCCAGCACGGAGCTGGATGAGAGCTCCCATGAACCCTGGTCTCAGCAAAGATACTGCCAACTCCGGTGCAGGAAGACACTGGAGCATTGGCCACCCTAGGACCTGTGGTCACTGCTGTGCAGACCTTGCCCAGCAGCTGTGCAGCTACCTGCAAAGCAACCCTGAAGCTGCTTCTGCACCCTCACTCAGGGCAGGCAGTTCACCTGGAATCCTACCTCAGCCATACATGGAGAATGGCTTCCATAAGTCACTACCACAGACACTTCCAGAGAGATGCTAGGCACAGGGCAGGCTGGGGTGAAACCATCAGCAACCTGCAAACACACGTGGGGCTGGTGCAGGACCAGGTGCCCCACATGGAGGGGGAACCAATAGTGAATGGCTGTGCATGGCAGGGCAGAGGAAGGCTCCTGGGCTTTCAGCGGAGGCGGCTCCAGAACAAGGTGTGCTTGCTTTTTAAGGATACCCCTCTGTGCACATTGGCCTCACCCCATGGAAACACCTACACTCTGAAGCCCTGGTGCATCCTCCAAGTGCTGCCCTTTAAGATACACACACAGCTGTTCACTGTGTACAAGAGGAATAACAACATGGGAAGTGCCCAGCAAGACTGGTTTTCACGGGGTGAAGACCAGCCCAGCTGGCAGAATCTGTAAACAGGCTCTTGGAGACAACCAGCTGATAAGGGCACAGTGATTCCCCAATCAGGCAGAAAGCAGGGCTGCGACACAGGTGACCAAATGCTACAGCATGGCACTGGCTGTAAACAGAGCAGACCCCTCTTCAGCCCCAAGTGGGAAATGAGAAAGTGCAGTCTGGCTCTGGACATCTGCCCCGCAGAGTCCCAGAAGCCATAGATTTTGCACCTGGGCATTAAATGAGCAGGGACCCTGCAGTTCCCTTGGACACACTTTGGTTACCAGAGCAAAGAGCAGTGTCTGGGACAGGCGTCACTCAGGCGTCCTCCTCCTCATCGCTGACCAGCCCACCCTTGTCAGGGCCAGGCTCCCGCTCACGCAGAAAGTCCTCACGGATGGCCTCCAGCTCAGTCAGCTCCTGCCGCACCTTCTCCAGGTGATAGGCACGTCGGTTCCGGATCTGGCGCAGGGGGAAGGGGTTCAGGTCCACAAAGGAGATATTGATCAACTTCCTGGTGTGATGGAGGACAGAGAAGGGGGTCAATGAGGCTCTGTGAGTGCTCTCTACAGCGCTCACAGCAGCAAAGTCCAGGGCCAGGCAAGAGGGATACCATGCTGGGGGCTTGGGTAGGAGGATAAGCCTCCTCCCACAGAAGGGCACAGTGTCAGAAGGGACAACCCTGAATCCTGCCCAAGCACAGACTCTAGTTCTGCTACACTTGTTTTTTGGCCTGATTCCCCATTGGCACATTGGGAACACTGGGTGTGCCCTCCCAGAGCATGGGGCCTCCTGAGAGCAGTGCCCAGTGCTTGTTCCACACCCATGAATGCTCGTGGATGTGATCCGGCCAGTGCCAGGCCGGACTGACTGACTGGGCATGGTAGATGCCTGAGCAAACCAGCAATGACAATCAAGAGTCAACTGGCAACGTGACAAGGTCAACAGTCTATAGAGACTTAAGTAGCATGAGGGATTCTATTACCCCTGGGCCAAGGACCAATTTTCATTAAGTTACAGAATTGTGACTTAACTTTAACCACTGCCCAGCTGTCTGGTAAAGACTGAACTAAGACTATCCCAAGCTCCTGTTGCTCCCAGAATGCAGATCAGCCCACTTCTCCTAGGTACAGGAGGAGCTGGCTTCCCAAGCAGGGTGGCATACCCTGCCTGCCAAATGAGGGCCTGACTCGCATCTAGCCCAGGAGGGCTGGGTCAGAGCAGCACCCCTGCCATCACCTAGCCACGTGGGCTGTATTTAGCCTGGTGTACAAAGTGCAGAGGCATAAGCCTTGGAACTCCTCCACCTTTACCCCTACTCCTCAGGCATGCCTGACTGAGTCCTTGCCAAGGACTCAGGCAAGAAAGGCCAGCTCTGTTCAATGCCAAACTCCCGGTGTTCTAGGACAGGCAAGCCCCAGAGATGAGGGCAGCCCTGAGCAAGGGATGTTGTATGCAAAATGGCTAGGAAATAAAACACTGCAGGGACCAGGCCCTGGAAGCCCACACACCATCCCTCCCTACTGCAGCTGTGAGCCCATGGGCTCCACAAACCCAAGACCTAGGCATCTTCCCCTTTGCTACAGAAAGTGAACACTGGGAATGCAAAGCTAACACTTCCACTCACTCTGTGGTAGGGAAGCAAACTGGCCCATCAGCCCAGGAGCAGTACAAGGAGACCCAGATTCTACCTTGCAGTGCTCAGCTCCACTGGGCACCCAGGGTTCCTGCCTCAGAGACCATTCCAAACTGTATCACCCAACATCTCCTAGATCCACCTGGCTGTAGAAGCCCCTCCTTCCTGTCCTGTGAGATTCATCCATGTGCTACAGAACTGGTGCATCCTGGAACCATTAGTGTGGGGGATTATTAAACATTGGGGCCTCCATGCAGAGGAGCCTGGATAACTGCAGTCTCGACAGCACTACCCCCCACCTCTTGTAATCCTGCCAGTTTACATTCAAGGCCACTTGAAGCCCTGGACCTTCTAAAGGGAGGGGAAGCACCAATCTGCTCACAAGGTGGTGCTGCAGGACCATGCACGACTTGGTGGGCACTGCCCAAGCCCGATGAGCATTTACAGGAGAGGCTGGCAGGTAGGGCAGGCTCCATCTCTGAACCAAAGGCTTTCAACACAGGGTTAGCTGTTGGCTTGGGGGAGGCCATCCAGGGTCTTTCTTGAAAATATGAGTTAGCAGAAAGCTCTTGAGGCTCCCCAGGATCTGGCAATGCTCATAGGCAAGTGCAACCCTCAGATATCCTCTGGGCAGAGATCAAGTCCCCACTGTGCATGTCAGTGTTCATCCCGACAGTCTGAAGCGAAAGACACCAAAAAGGTGAGGATGCCAGACCCTGTGTGGTATCCACTGGCTCCTTCTGCTGTCAACAAACACACCAGCTGTGGTCCAGGGGACACAGGGAGCCCAGGACAGAAGAAATGCAGGGAATAAAATGATTCAGAATGCTTAGCTGCCCAAGTCAGAGCCTGGGTTCTTCCACATTCAGACCCTCTCTCCTCAGTCTGTCCCAGCTCTCCAGCTGCAGGTCACTTCTCTCCAAGGCCACCTCCTCTCCTGCCTGGAGCCCTCTCACAGCCATCATCCCTGGGATCCCAGGGGCCAGTCCTATGCCAATGCAACCTGTCCTCTTGCCTAACCCTGTGATGACTTCCAGTATTCTTAGTGCTAGGAAGCTTGCAAGAGCCCAAACAGCCCAGCTCCACTGTGGCCAGCTACATACTCCAGCAGACTGGTGACCCAGCTAATCCACTTCCACAGGACCCCAAGCACTCGTTCCCACAGCTCTGCAGGCTACCCCAGCTCTGCCTAGCATCTCCCCTCATTGCCCATCCTAGCCTGGGTCCCCAGCCTGAGCCTCATGGTCATAGCACCATGGGATAGGGCCTGCTTCCCCTACCATCAAACTCCATCCAGCAGCTCATGCCTGGCATTGGCCCCAATCGTAGCAGACACTCAGCAAACAGCTGTAGACATGCAGACCATGGCTTTTGGTTGTTGGGATTCACATTTGCTGGATGAAGGATAAAACCAATTTCGTCTGAGTTCCCCTCTGATCTCTAAAAGTCACACCTCTTCCTGTTTCTTCTCTCAGGAAGGAAATTCCTTCTCCCACACAGCACCCTGAGGTGGCTCTGAGTCTGACAACAGTAGGGTCAGAGGTAGGACTTCCTATTCCCCTGATCTTTGGGGGAAGGGAGGGCGCATCCCCAGGACTTACCGAGCATCAAGAATAGTGCGAGTGAAGTAGCGGAGATACTTAAATATAGACATTGAGTCCTGCAATTTCAGGATCTCCTCTTCCTTGTATTTAAAAACTGCGAGGGCAAAACGGAAAATAACCTGTAGGAAGGACAGGAAAGCGTGTGAGTGCAGACACAAGCTTGAGCACTGAAACCCTGAGGAAGTACCCCAAATGGGCCCTGCCCCAGGTACACATTGGCCCTGGGGGCTGATTCTTGCTGGCCAGGAAAGCCTTCTCACAGGAAAGTAAACTCTGATTGTGTCAACTATTCAGCCCCAACCAAGTCACCTTGTGAAGTAAGTAGACATGGTACCTTAAGTCCAGCTAATAATTCTAGTCAATCTGGAAAACAGAGCTAGAAATCATGTTTATTTGCTTGCTTGCTTGCTTGCTTGCTTGCGGAATTGGGGATTGAACCCAAGAACTCACCATGAGCTACATCCCCAGCCCATTTTCTTATTTTTTGAGAGAAGGGTCTCATATGTTTCCAGGCTTCAGCTTCCAGAGTAACTGGGATTACAGATGTGGGCCACCCACTGTGCCTGGATAGAAATCATCTGTACCACTGGTGGTACAAACAGATCTAATCATTTTTATCAGGCTTTTTACTAATAAAGTTAATAAAAAGCCACCCAAAGGACAGTCATGCATGTACCACAGGTGCTTCAAGCCTCCTGGCAGTAGGACATCCAAATTATAGCCCCGTGGTGAACATGTTAAGTAAACTCAAAACTGAGATTTTTTTATTCCGAAAGCCTTGGAAAGGTTTGCCACCAGAGGCCACTCCCATCTTGACTGGTACAGCAGTGCCTTAACTGCTGACTTCTGAGTATGAAGAAAGAGAATCCATGTTTTAGAGGATTCTGGAGGGTCCCATATTTGAGGCTGCAGGAATGGACTTCTGGTGGTCTTGGAGGTTAAAGCAGCTTTGGAAAAAAACTCTTTTCTCTTATGTAAGGGCTGTGGGTGCCTGCACCAGCCTGCTCTTCTCATATTTAGAAGAGTATTTACAGGGGTCTCCTTCCCTGAGTGTGGCCAGATTCCTATAACATTTCTGCCCTCACTGAGAAATCCTTGCAGTAATGGCAGACTAGGTCATCAGGCTGGTGATGTGCTGCATTAAATAAAAGTTTGAGTATCTATGAACCCACACCCTTTGCCCAGCACCACTACCTACAGGTGCACCTGCATAGATGCAGAAAGACAATGATCTCCAAAGAGTTGGCACAGCACAGTCATAAGTGACACAAAACTGTCCATCCTATCATCTATCAGGGCTGTTGTGTAAATTTCTGGCTCATCTATACAAGAAAATGCTATACAGAATTACAAAACATGTACGTGTCAGACCTGGACACACTGATATGGAACTGCCTCCAAGACATACCAACTTAAAAACATATGTAAGCTATGTACTGAATACTTAGAGAAGAATGTGTAAGACATGGAGAAGAAGAACTAGGACACTGGGGGAGGGGGAGAGCTCCTTTCCACTATCTACCCTTAGTTTTTGGTAACTGGTGTATTTATATACTAAAATGTTTAACGGTTTTTTAAAACATACAACAGAATAGGGGGAGGCTCATGGGCAGTCAGACTGTGACCAGGCTCCCCATTCTCTATAATCAGATCTCTGCGCCTACATCTCCTCAACCACACAATGTGGATAATGCTGACACCCATTCTACAAATGGGGAGGCTCAGATTATAAACCATCCAAGTTCCCAGGCCTAACACAGGGCTTGGTACTGTTGTTTTTGTTCTATATTGCAGTGCTTGGGATGGAACCCAAGCCCCATACAAGCTAGGTAAGCTCTCTGTCCCTGGGCCACATCCCCATGCCACTGAGCACTGTTAATAGATACGCAGTGATCATGGCTCCTCAAGGTCCCCAGGGCCATGCATACCAAGACCACCATGGTGCTGTGGGAGGCAGTCACTCAGCCCTGCTAACTGCTTGCTGCCATCAGGAGTATAACTGAGAACACCAGAGCCAAGCACACCCACCTTTGGTCCCTCATACAGGAAAGAGTCCCATATCTTAAAGAGAATGTCGCTAACCACGCTGTCCACAAACACCACCAGGAACCAGTTGAATGTGATGAGAGTGTAGTCAACTTTGTACTGTTCAAAGTGGGCATGCAATCGAGGCAGCTTCTCATTCATGAGGTCTCTGAACACCCTCTGGTCCACCTGACAAGGGAACAGAGGGGAGCAGGGTCAGGGTCAGCTGCAGCATTGTGCAGGCACACAAGGCCAGTCACTCAGACTGAGAGCAGAGGGTGGAATCATGGGGACCACAGCCATATGGCTGTCCCAAACCCACTGTGGGGACTGTCACAGGACTGGGCTTCTCTGTGGCTCAGAGGCAATGAAACTTGAGTGCTCCAGATGTGCATCTGACATCCAGGGCCTAGGGAAAGCACAGTACAGTGATGCTGAAACCAAGGGCCAAAAGCCTGCATTCTAGGCAGAAGTAGCAAAGTGAGTCTTCAGCTAAAGAAGAAGTGTGCCGTTACCTACCCAACCATGTGACACATATTTACCAAGATGGGGGGGGGGGTTCCAGACTGAGGGACCCATGTGGGGGTCTCACCTCCACTACCACCAGCTAGGTGCTTTCAGCAAGGGGTTTTACACAGTCTGTGCCCTATCACAAAGATGGCTGTTGTGAGGCTCATATGGGGCTCACGTGAACTATCTACTGCACACAGACATGCCAGGCAAGGGGCCTGCAGGAAACAGGATGGCATACATACAACCTGACCTCAAGGATGCAGAAGGTGAGCAGGTAGACATATGAACTGGCACACTCACTGTGGCAAGTCCTGTAAAGATTTCTCAGAGAGAAGGGACAGCACCCACTGCCCAAGCCTAGGTTTCCAGACAGCAGGGTACAGAGAAGGCAGCACCACCTGGCAGAAGCCAGTCACAGAGGCTGCCATGTCACACAGCAGGCTCAAGACCTTGTCCTGTAGTCCAGAGCCTTTCTGTACCCCACACAAAAACAGGCAGCTTCATCTGTGGCTCAGTCAACATTATCCATGTGCACATATACAACAGCAGCAAAAGTCGCACCAAATAGTACTTAGCCCACACAGTAGACTCACTTCTCGATTCCCATCTGCTCAACTTTACAGGACACACAACCCCCCTGAACCGCTTTCTCTACCCAGGTTAAAAGATGCAAGAGGCATGGAGCAGTGTCTCACAGCTGTAAGCACTCAGGGTCTCACGGCTGTAAGCTCTCTGACTGGAGTGGGGTAGCAAGGCTGGCCAGAGAGCCCAGGTGGATCCTTGCCTGGCCAGGCACAGGCAGTGAATCTGAGCCCATGGAGGGCAGTGGGATAAAGGAGGGATACAGATTCATGACTGTGTAGAGAAAAATCTACAGAACCTAAAATCATGCTGAAACAGGTAAGAAGAGGTGTTCAGTGTTCCCTGGCTTCTGATCCTAGACATGGCAGGGAAGAAGTATGGAGCCGGGGCCAGACCAAGGAGAGTGCCAGGCACGGGTGCCCATGGCACCTCTACTGGGAGACTACACTGAAGCTCCAGGGGAGGCCTGGACTCAAAGGAGGAGCCACACAGGAGTGGCAGATCTGCAAGAAGAACAAGGGAGTAGCAAGGGCCCAAGGCACAGGGCAAATGAAGCCAGTCCCTAGAGGTCAGGGCAGGGGCGACAGCAGCCAGCTCCACTGAAGGTCCTTGCAATGTTTTATGAACCGTCCACATGAGCAGTGTATCCTCTCATGGGCTACCAATGGGGGGAAACTGGACAGCCACTGTGGCAACTCGGCAGCACCTAGAACTAGGAAAATGCTTCCCCCCACAGTAAAACTACTCCTACCAGGATATCATCCCCAAACTTGCAAAACTATACCACACATCAGTAAGTTAGAACAACAGGTGTGACCATTCTTGGGATTCCTGAAATACTAAAAAAACTAGAAGCAATATTCAGGCTGTACAGCCCAAGCCTGCCGGGTATACACACATGGCTTATCTGAGCAACAGCAAGGGAAAAGGCCTTGTTTTGGGCCATGTGTAAAATGTATAGTGTACAGAAGTCACAAAACTGAGTACTGCAGGCTGGACACACCTGATCAAGACAAATGTGTTTTTCTTTAAAAGAAGTTTCAAAAATGCTTCTGTTTTTTGTTTTTTAAAAAGTACAGTTACACAGGTTCCAACAGAAACTACTGGTTAAAATTTTTAAAATGTAAAAGGCAATGTAACTTACAAAGCTAAAAAGCATTGCTATTTTATAAAAATGATACTAAAAAGTTGTAAATATACCCCAGAGCAAAACATCACAAAATATAAGAATTCAGGATTGGAAATACACATTTTTGGCCAATTTGCTTTCTGACTAGAATAAGACACAAAATGTCCAAGATATACACTGGGTGAAATGAATTATAATTAATTTTCTTAAACACTTAAAAAACAAAAGTACACTAGAATATATAAAGAATTGAAAAAAATCAGACCCCCCCAAATTCAAAGACCCAATTCAAAAATGGGCATCTGAAATGAACAGACATTTCTCAGACAAAGAAATAAAAGCAGCAAACAAATATATGAAAAAATGTTCAACATCATTAGTCATTCGAGAGGTGCAGATGAAAACAACACTGAGATTCCACCTCACCCCAGAAAGAATGGCTGCTATCAAGAAATCAACCAATAACAAATGCTGGCGGGTTGTGGGGAGAAAGGAACCCTTCTCCATTGCTGGTGGGAGTGCAGACTGGTGCAACCACTGTGGAAATCAGTATGGAGATACCTCAAAGAACTAGGACTAGAGGTCCCATTTGACCCAGCTATCCCCCTGCTGGGTGTCTTCCCCAAAGAATTAAAAGAATCATACCACAGTGATATATGTGCACCCATGTTCACTGCGGCACAGTGTGTAATAGCTAAAGCTTGGAAGCAGCCCAAGTGCCCATCAACTGGAAACTGGATAAAGAAAATGTGGTTTTTTTATAAAACGGAGCCATAAAGAACGAAAAACTAGAGTCATTTATCGCTAAATGGATACATATCAAGGCCATACTCTCAAGTGAAATAAGTAGGACACACATGTGTAAATACCGAATAGTTTCTCTAGTGTGAGAAACTGATAGTGTAAACAAGGGTTAAAATGATTAAAATGAATAATTGATAACTTGAAATAGGAAAAAAGGTCCAAAGATGAAGGACTGAAGGGAGGGGAAGGGGAAAGGAAAAGAGGGAAAGGAAAAACTACGAGAAAAGAAAAAAAAATGGAAATGAAATCTATGTAAATAAGGTGGAGGGGGTAAAGGGCGCACAGGTAATGGGGCAAAAAATAAGAACCAAGATACATCATGTACAGGTACAAACACCCAATGATAAATGTAAACGAACTGTATACCTAAAATGTACCAATGAAAGAACTAAAAAAAAAAAACCAAAAGTACATAAAAAGTTGTGAAATCCCCCCAAGTGCAAAAGGTATGGGCCTCCAGCTTCTCTCCCACATCCCCCTGCCCGTAACACCCGGTAAGTGGTCAGATTACTACTGTAGGAGGCTCTCTGGACATGGTCTGTCATCCCTTCCCAGAAAGCCTACCCATGCCCAGAGTCAGCACCACACCAGGGACAGTGCTTTCCTGCTTGTGTCCCTCCTGTCTCCACATCCTCACTTCAACTACACCTCGACCCGCACCTCGAGGCCCTGTGTTGCCTTGAAGGAGCTGTAGAGTGGCAAGGCAGGTGGACAGCTGCCTCCAGGGATCAGCTGCTGAAATGCAGTACACAAAGCCTCCCACAGGGACTTAACTCAGGTTGCATTTCAGCTTTAAGTCTACAGGCTGGTGACTGAAGCACAGTAGTTTAAAAAAATACCAGCAGGATAGAAATTCAATGCCCCAAAATCAATGGTGTTTCTATACACCAATAATGAACCTACTAAGAAAGAAACCAGGAAAGCAATCCCATGCGCAAACTCCAAAAAATTAAGAACCTAGGAATCAACCTAATCAAAGAGGTGAACAACCTCAAAATGAAAATTACAAAGCACTGAAGAGGACATTAAAAAAATAGACTTTCCTTGTTCTCAGGTAAGAACTAAGATGAAAATGCAATATTAACAAAAGCAAACTATAGATTTAATGTAATCCCTCGTAAAACACCAAAAATAAACCAGGCGTGGTGATGCATATCTATAATCCCAGCACTTGGGAGGCTGAGGCAGGAGAATAGCTGTGTGCTCAACCCCAGCCTGGGCTACATAGTGAGTTCAAGGCCAGTGTGAATTTCATAGCAAGAAAGTAATGATTACAAAACCTATCTCAGAACAACAAAATAAAAGACCAACACATTAACCACAGAACTAGAAAAAACAACCTCAAAATGCAGATGGAATCAAAAAAGACCCAGAATAGCCAAAACAATCCTGAGCAAAAAGAGTAAAGCTGGAGGTACCACAATACCGAATTTCAAATTTGTACTACAAATCTGTAGTAACAAAAACCATATGGTACTGGTACGAAAACAGACATGTAGACCATGGAGTAGAAGGGAAGACACAGAAACAAGTCCATCCACCTACAGCCATCTGATTATTGACAAAGGGACCAAAAACATACACTGGAGAAAAGATACCCTCTTTAACAGACAGTGTTGGGAAAACTGCACATCCACTTGTAGATGATCAAAACTAGATCCCTACCTCTCACCCCGTGCTAAAATCAAATCAAAACAGATCAAAAACCTAGACAGAAAACCAAAAAAGTTGTAATTATTGGAAGATAATATAAGGGAATACTTGAAGCCACAAGCACAAAGACTTCCTGAATAGAAATCCAAAAGCACAGGAAATAATTCTGTATCAAGAATCAGCAAAATGGATTACATCAAACTAAAAGCTTTTGCACAGCAGTGAGGAGGCAACCTACACAACAGGAAAAAAAGTTTTGCTAGCTACTTTTTTGATACAAGAATAATCTCTAGAATATGTAAAGAACTCAAAAATTAACCCACCAAAAAACAAATGACCCAATCAAAAAACGGTCACATGAAGTGACTAGACACTTCCAAAAAGAAGAAGTACAAGTGGCCAATAAGTACATGAAAAAATGTACAAGATCTTTGGCCATTAGAGAAATGAAAATCAAAACAACTATGAGATTCATTCTTAGCCCAGTCAGAATGGCTATCATCAACACAAAAAGCAATGAATACTGACCAGGAGAGGGGTAAAAAGGAACATTCTATATTATTGGTGGGAATGTAAACTAGTACAGCCACCATGGAAATCAGCGTGGAGATTCCACTAAAAACTAAAAACAGAAATACTATCTAACCCAGTTATACCTCTCCTGCATACATTCCTGAAAGAATCAGACATCATACTATAGCAATCCACACATACACATGCTTATTGGCAATGCAATTCAATATAGCTAAGCTGTGGAAACAGCCTAGTTGCCCATCAACAGATGAATGGATAAAGAAAATATGGTATATATAGGTAATGGAACATTATTCAGCCATGAGGAAGAATGAAATCATGCCATTTGCAGGAGAGTGGATGGAAATCAACATCATGCTAAGCAAAATAAGCCCAACTCAAAGTTAAATATCGCATGTTTTCTCTTATATGAAAAACCTAAAAAAATAAAGATATTTTAGGTTAAGTTAGGATAAGCTGGACAGACAGACAGACACCCAGAAGGTAAATTACTAGAAATGGGAAAGGAAATGGGGGAGAGGGAAGGAAGGAGGCAAAGCAATTGAAAATGGTCAAGATATCTTATATGTATGTACCAATTCCCCAAAATGAATCTCACTATTCTATATAACAAACATGCACATGCACACACACACACACACACACACACACACACGCACACGCACAAAGTACCTGGGATCCTAAAAGAGTCTTTGTGTAATAGTCTCGAGGCATGAAAACTTCCACAATGGTAACCAGACACCAGAAAGCATCTTCTTGTTCCAGGTATAGGAGGGCCACTGCCACCAACCTAGAAGCAAGAGGGGAGGGTCAGTGTCAGCCCTGTGCCAATCTTCACTGAGACATTTGCTGAGCCATTTTCTCTCCTCTGGGCAAACTATATCTAGCTGTCCAATAAACAAGTAAGTGTTGCTGAACAAGTGAGGCACTTTCTAAAATTTGAGAAGCAAAGCTACACTTCCCTTGCTCTTTCATGTGGTTTTTGTTAAAAGATGAAATTGTTGGGCCAGGGATTTAGCTCAGTGGTTCCAGCACCTGCCTTGCAAGCAAGGTCCCCAGTTCCATCCCTGGTACTCCCCCTCCAAAAAAAAGATGAAATTGTTTCCCAATGACTGACCAGGCTCATTTTTTAAGTAAGTTTTCATTCTAAGAGTTTGCTAATGCAGCTATTCTTTGACTTCATTGTTCAAAAAGTTCAACTACTCTTTTCATGCATTAAAAAAAAAAATGTGGATGTAAATAACAAAGAGTACCAGATGGTTTAAAAAACAACTTTCCAGGCTCCACCTATGCTGCTTCTATACTGGAAGAATGAAAAGGAACCACAGACCAAGGAACCCAGCTGAGAGGTTCTCAGACAATGGGCATCTGGAATAGCACCTGGTGTACTAGGAAAGGAAACTATGTATACCAACTGCTACATTCTTCATAATGGAAACTTGGGTCCAGCTATTACACACTGTCACTAACCAAGAGACTACTTGTTCACATTTTGGGGGGGTTTTTTTGTTTGTTTGTTTTTTGGTATTTTTTTGGTACTGGGGATCAAACTCAGGTCCTTGCGCTTGGAAGGCAGGCGGCGGAACCACTGAGCTAAATCCCCAGGCCTAGAGACTACTCGTTCAATATCCCCAAGTTGGCTCCAAGTAGGCACTGGGGCAGAGGTGAGAAAAATGCCCTTTCTACTTAGCTAAAATCCAAGAACCTCTGCCCGTGTGTTCTACCCTACATTCATCACTCACAGGAAAACCCATGCCCTTTCTCACAATTTGCTCCTGCTCCTTAGGTAAAATTATAATGATCTCATCTCAAATTGGAAAAAAAACAAAAAAAAAGACCTGAGCTAGGTGGGCAGGGAGGCCTCCAGTCATCATGAAGGGATGGAGAGTGCAAAGACGACAAATGACAGATGAAGGAGAAAAACATTTCACAAAAGCACATGGCCAAATCCATATCACCCGAGGATGTCTAAGATGGCAGAGTCCACAGAGCCTTTGAGGACATCACTTAAATGAACTGATGATGGTGAAGACAAGGGGCCTGAATCATCTAGAAAGGATGAAGTTCTTCTACAGAAGTTCTGGTTATTCAGAAGGCACAGACATGAACCAAACATTCTGAAGAAAAACATCCAGTAAAACAGTTAAAATTAAGACCCTTTTACAGTGGGGTGTAGGTGCAGAGAAAAAGCTTCATCTGTAAGCATCCCTTACAGGCAAAGATCCGCTTCCATGACATCATCAGGTAACTAGGGTGCTACCACACCCCCAAATGGGGCCCCTTAGTTTCAGAGATTGTCCGCTTCTAGTTAGTTTTAGACGTGAGAATAATATGTGAATTGTGGCTTTAAGTGAAACAAAACTGCTTTATTAAGCAGTAGCCTATTTACAGGCTTTTTCTTTTTAAAATGGAGACTCTCTAGGAACAGCTGAACTCCCTTTACTTTCCAAGGCCACAGAGAGAGCCACCCTGTTCTCACCACCATAAACAAGGCATGAAATCATCTTGGGTCTTACCCAAGAAACAGTGCAGTCTGAAACCTTGCCTCTCATTTCTGATGCAAACAGACGGCCTGACACCAATGTCAGCACCTGGAATGACCAGAAGCATAAAGACCTCTATGCAGCCAGGATAAACATCAGCATTCAAAACTCAAGCTCATGCACTTGGCTTACAGGGGATTCCTCAAGTACATAAACAGCATCTTCATTCTTTATCTTTCCAATAACCTTAGTTACCTACATCACTCCCACAGAGAAATACAACTGCAAAGCGCAATGCATCAGCAGGCACAAACAGCAGAAGGTGGATCAGCCAGGTAACGTCAGAAGCAGGAAGCCATCTCTAGCACCCAACACCCTGTCCCAGAGGAGCGACATGCAGAGGCCTCATTCTGACCCAGCATGGCTTAGACCTAAGAGCTAGATCGGTGATGGCAAACTTTTTAGAGCTTTCAATGATACAAACAGCCTACTGCGACACACGTGGTAGGTTCACCACCACTGAGCTAGATCATTAAGGACAGCCCAGTGGCTTCTACATCCCCTGCTTAGGGAAGTATGGAAGACATGTTGAGAGAGGCCAGTCTAAAAAAGCAAGGTTAGGTCTTTCAAGAGCTGGGTTTAAATCAGCTAAAGCACTGTTTAAGGCAACTTCCTAATTCACAAGTTTCCTGTATAAATAAGGAGTGACCCTGAATTTTCACTCCATGCATTATCAACCAATGAAATAAAACTTCGCTCAAAATCCAAGTGTGAGGGAACAAGGAAGAATGAGATTCCAAACTGTTTCAACTGAATTTGATTTCGTGATCTTTTTTCTATGTGCTAGGGACTGAACCCAGGCCCTTGTGCACTTTGCCACTGAGCTACATTCCCACCCCAACTTCTGTGTTCTTAATACTTTCTGGAAGCATGTTTGTTTCTGTTTTTCCAGAGCTGGGGACGGTTCCTCACTAAAACTAGCTTTCTATAATTGCTTTTTTCCCTAAAACACTGGCATTTTTTGACTACACAAGAAGCGAGGGAGCTGCCAGGCAGTGCTTGGTGCCCACAATTCTTTGAATGGTACCTGGGAACATGCTGTGGCTGATGCCCACCTGTTCAGCCCTTGGCAGTAGCCAATATCCGGGTTCCGCCAGGAGAAGGCAAGAAGGACATTGCGCAGCTTCTGGATACCCTCTGAGGTGGGGCAGGAGTAGTGCTTGTTGTTGGGCAGTGTCCGAAGCAAGTCCAGCTCAATCTGCTTGGAGGCTGGGTTCTGCTTCTCCAGGGCCTTCTGCAGCAAGGCTTGGAAATAGCCTGGCTCTGCACCATCCTTGAACTTCCTTGTGTGGAAGTCCACGCACCACTTCCACACCTTGGAGCGGTGCTCATGGGGAATGCCTGAGCGGATGAGGGTCTTCAGTTCTGGAGAGCACACCATCTCCCTGTTCACTGTGCTGGCAAAGTAGTTTTCCCACTTGACCCCAGTGGAAACTTCCTGGTTCTCTGTGAGGTACAGAGTCTTCAGGTCCAAGGCACGGACCTTAGCGACCAACTTCTCCTCCTCATCGTCATCAGGCACAGTCCTGAACCCATAGATATCATACTCACTATTGATAAAAACAAAAATGAAAATAAAAATGATCTTTTCAAAAAAATAAATAAATAAAACAGAGTAGACGCAAGGACCTGAGTTTGATCCCCAGTACCAAAAAAAAAAAAAAAAAAAAAGCAGAGTAGAGAACCCAGAAACCAATCCACATCCATGTATACATCTATATACATATGACCAGGCATTTCAAACTAGCAAGCAGTGAGCTTCTCAATAAACAGGGACAACTGCCATCTAGGTGGAAAAAAATCAATTCCAGATGGCTTAAAATATTTAATGTGAAAAACATTGAAGAAAACATAGGCACTGTCACAAAAACAAGACTGATAAACATGGCAACATCAACGGGTATGTGTTTATATATTATACATATACAAGTGATTAAATGCATGTCTCAAAAGATGACAGGGTCCAGCCAGGGATTTGGCGCAGTGGTTTCTCCACCTGCTGCGCAAGCGCAAGGACACAAATTCAATCCCCGGTACCAAAAAAAAATGAAAGATGACAGGGTCTCACTATGCAGTTCAGGCTGGCCTTGAACTCACCATGTAACCTAGGCTGGACTCGAACTTGCGGCGATCCTCCTGCCTCTGTCTCCCAAATGCTGGGATTATAGGCATCCGCCAACATACCTGGCAGAGACATCATTTTATTTGTTTGAAAAATTTTTTTGGTACTGGGGATCAAACTCGGAACCTTGAGCTTGCGAGGCAGGCGGCGAAACCACTGAGCTAAATCCCCAGCCCTAGAGACATCATTTTAAAAGGTGAAAAGACAAAGAAGAAAATATTTGTAATGTATTAGGGATGAACAGATTACCTAAGCAGATTTCCCTTACAAAGAAAGCCCAGTTCTCCTTTATGGGGCCCCTTTCTTTCTGAATCCTCTGTGGGTATAGCTGTGTCCCCAAAAAGGATCCTTACTCTTTGGAACACTGGCTCCTCCTGAAGTAGATATGGTCTGGAAGCAGGGTGACTTTGACATGGCACATGAGATCTGATCCCCAGATCTATTCCTTGATGATAGGGGAAATGATGGTGTCATCTGTTCAGCTGACCCAGCAGCACTGTCATTTGCATCAAATGACACAAGAGTTGTGTGAAGTCCTCTATGAACAGCTATTCTGCTGAAGGGACTTCAGGAACAGGGTATAACTCCCAACAGTCGCTGGCACCTTTACCTGACAAGATGAGGCTTCACAAAGGCTTGCTCTTGTTGTTCCTGACTCTCAACCTGCAGCGCATCCTCCAGCAGTTGGGCAATCACTTCCCGGGTGGGCCCCTGCTCTTCTGAACACACTGGTGTCTTCATTTCTTGAAGCAGTATCAGGTACTTGCTTTCTATCTGGCAGAGCTTGGCTTCCAGGCTGGAATACTTTAGAGCAAGTGGGAGGTTACCTCTATCCAGATGAGACACAAAAAAAGCCTCCCCTCACATGGCTCAAGCAACTGATCAATGACAAGCCCTAGACTATCAGGAAGTGAGCCAGAGACAGACAGTAACAAAGGCAATGTTAATGCATGCTGCTGGCCAACTGCTATGTTTAACATAGCTCCCTCCTCAAGGCCTGGCACATAAGGCACACTGATAACCAGAGGCCTGGGTGCCAAAACATGCCACACCCCTGCACAGGGCTGGAGTGAGCAGCAGACACCAGATGCCAACACTGAGGTCAAGCTGGTGCCACCAACCACATGGACCATCAGTGGTCACCCCATGCCATGCCACTTTTCTTAGGACACTGTGACCCAGGACTAGCTCCCATCTGTCACCTGATCAGAAAAAGTAAACACATCTGGAAAACACGCAGGGGTAAGATTTGGATAGATGCTTTGAGATTTGCTCAAAAAATTACACCAGGTACATAGGCACCACAGGCAAGTGTCATCTGATTATAATTCAGTTACAACTGGAGTATTTGTGGTCCCTTTGTACTCTGCAAAGCCCTTTCCAGCCATAATCATCTCTGACTCTCAAACCAACCCAATGGTTCCGAGAGAAGGCAGTATCCTCACCACCTGATTTTACAGATATGAAACATGATAACAAAAATCTAAATACTCTTAACTTGGGGAACCTATAATTGTACAAAATTTTCCTCAAAAAAGTGCATTTAAAATGTATATGTATGACAGAAGCCACATCTACGGGCCTTTCTGTCTTCATCAAACACAAAGTGCATGGCTCTATGTACTATACATATTTTAATATATTTTGATACCAACAGTCATCTTTCTCCAAGCACGGCAGTGGAACTGGTTTTAAAGCACATCCATTTAAATGTGGTTTTCTAGTCTTCCCTCTCACCAGTTAATAGGAATACTTCCATACGGACCCACCTTGGCCATCAGATCTCTCTCTCTCCTTTCCGCATTTCTTCGTAGAGCTGAGAGTTCCAAAATCTCCTTATTTAGAAATTTATTTTGGGCCTTGTACCCTTGTAGATTATCCTGTGGGGGGAGGAAATCCCATCAATTCACACTGGTTGGATATTGACTATGTGATAGGGTTTGCTGCCTCACCAAACAGTCTCTAAATCAGGGTCAGCTCTAAGGACCTGGAAGTTGTTAACAAACTTTTGGGTTAATCTTCCTGGCCACCTGTGGCAGCAGAATGAAGGCAGGCACTGCTACTGCAACAAAGGAGACAGAAGAAATGTTGACTTAATGGTGGTGATTTTTCTCAACTGATGACAGCTGAAATGAACAGGACTTACTTCCTAAATCTATGCAACTATTTTACCTACTTGTAGTCGTTGAGGTGGTACAAAGAAAGTGATATTTTACCTTCTTTTTTTTTAAACTAGAGAAATTGAACATATTCTCTCAAGGTTCTCATTGTTACTTATGTACTTTGTTAAAGAAAAAAATGGTTACAAACATATACAAAAACCCTGAACTAAAAATTACACATAATAAATTCAACCTATGATTATAAGGTACTTAAAGAGAATGTACTGCTCAACTTTTTTACATTGAAAAAGTTCAAACTTATGGAAAAGCTTAAAGCAAAGTACAGTGGGGCTGGGGAAGAGCTCAGTGGTGAGCACTTGCCTTGCATACACAAGACTCTGGATTCTATCCTCAGTACTGGAAAAAAAAGGGACCAATATTTTGTCCCTACCTCAGAATACTACAAAAGTAAGAAGTAACCATTTTCAGACACAAAAAAGAGTAAAATCCAAAAGATCAGAAATCTTTACAGGCCACATCCACTGACAAGCAAGAAAATTGGCCAGAAGAGCAGTTTTTAAAAAAGATTATCTAAAAATACATTTAAAATATTTTAACAGATTTTGTTTACATAAAAGTATATTATATTTACATATGAAAACTATATATACATGTTATTTTCCACCTAGTCATTTTAGATGTGAGGTCAAAGAAGAATTCAGTACTCCCTCTTCAACCGTGCAGTTCAGCCCTGGAAAAGGAGGACACAAGGTCAAGACATCGCTGTCAAAGGCCTCCTCTCTCAAGCCTTCCAGCACTGCACACAAGGTGTGCACTAGGGCAGAGGGACAGAAAACCCAAGGTCTTGACCAAGGGAGGACTCATGTGTCCCACCTGGAACCCATCTGGCAACCACTGCCTCTTTACAAGCTGCACCCACTGAACCTCATGGTTGTGAATTTTGGAGCCAAAGGGTTTTTAAATGGCTGAGAAATGTTCAGGAAAAATATTTCATTATTGACCCTAAACCATCCCAATTATTATGCCACAAAAAGGAAATGGAAGGAAGGGTCCACCCTGATTCACCCTGTTAAGTGTTCTCCAAAAGGGAGGGGCCCTCACCATGCACCTGGCTCAGTTCCTGGGGAAATGTGACCCACACCTCTCTCTTGCCCAGTATAGCCCACCATGGCTTGGAAACCTTGGTTCTGGCATAGTCCCCACATTCTGTGAACACAGATGTGTTTGCAAAATGAACACTTCTAATGGGATGTATGATTAGGGTTGGGAGCAGTTAAGGTCACATATATAAAGAAAACCAACTTCTACTGGCAGCACTAACAAAGACATCTTTTATAGGAAAGGCTATTTTATAGTAAATGTAAATATAAAGTAATGAGGTTGGGGTTTTGTGGTTGTTTTGGTTTTCTCATTAACAAATCCTGTGCCTCACACCCAAGGGTGCTGTCCCTGAGAATTAGTCACTATGAGGGACCATCTATACATTTCAACAGTGCTGCTATCTATCACTCCAACGTTCTTAGCTCTGTTTTGGAATGACCTTCAAGGTGCCTGGTCTGCTCATCACTCATGCAATCCGCTGCAGTGCATGAAAGGAGGTTTGAAGCACATGCTCACCAACGACCTCAACACCAGTAATCCTTTGCCCTTCGGGGACAAACTCCACTGGGGGCAAACACGCTTAGAGCCAAGTACTCACAAGAAGGGGGCAGCCAGGTGGAGAACACTTTGGGCTCAGTGGGGCTGGCAACTGGGCTCTGCCCAACAATTCATGCCCTAGGAGACATCTGTCCACCTGAAACCTCTCCAACAATCTCAGAAGATGGTGGAAGAAGGACCTGATGACCCTCTCTATGGCCCAACAGCAGCCCAAGGCCATTCAGCTCCATCCCCTGGATAATGAGGCTTCTTGGCAGGCATCCGAGTCCAACCACCCCTGCCTTCCACAGTGCTGGGTGTTCCAACAGCATCTGCTGTCAGCACCCTAGGTCGGACCCAGAAGAATCACTGCTTCTCACCCAGAGGGGGCCCACACATGGATGCTGGGAGGAAAGCTCTGTCTTCTGTCCTTCTCAACATCAAGACCCTTCCACCCGGGGTACAGGGGTGCAGACTCCTGCCAGACCCACTGGAGCTGGGGTCCACCCCTGACTGGTCCTTCACCAGCTAAGGGAATGAGGCTCCTGCTCCAGGCCTGTCAGGCTGCGTGCGAGGCTGTGCAAGTAAGTGTGTGTATGTCATACACACAGAAGGGACAAGTGACCGTTTCCACAAGGTCTGTGGGATACCGAGATCCTAGGTTAATCCAAATAGAAAGGGAAGGCTCAGCTGCCTTAAAGCACAAAAGGGAGAGATCTGAACCTCCTTCAAGAAGTGGCGACAGCATTCACATTTCCCAGGGGGCCTACTGAGAACATTAATAACCGACAATAAGCCCTATTATACTTGTCAAACACAAAAACAAGAACAGGCACAGTGTTCTCGTCTCACCAAATGAGCTCCCAGAGATGAGGACCTCTAGGGTGATCTAGATGGAGGTACCAGTTTTGGGAGCCCTGTCCCTGTAATCAGAATCAGTGTCCCGCTCTTACTTTCAGCCTGTCCAGCTCCAGCTGGTCCCTGCTGGCTGGGGCGACCAAGTTGGAGCCCGGCACCAAGGAGGGGGAAGACACATTGCCCTCGCCCTCGCTGAGCTTGATGATGACCTCATCCTTGGCCTGGATGGTCTCCATCAGCATCCCCAGCCGCTCATCGAGCTCGCCCACCGTGTTCTTCAGGGTCCTCACTTCCTGCTGCAGACTCTCCTTCTCCAGGCTCAGCCGCTCCAGCTGGCTGCTGAGGCCCAGAATCTGATCGTCCTTTTGGTGGAGCAGCTCCAGCGTAGCTCCGGGAACCCCTTCGCAGAATCGGCCACTTGTGAAATACTTGTCATACTGGGAAGACCGGACTGTCTGCTGTAGCAGCCGGACCAGCTCCTGGGAGCCAAGAAGACGACAAGGTGAAGGGGAAAGTGGGAAGGAAAGGGCAGAATTATGATAGCACCACAAGGAACAACTGCTAGTCTGAGGAAACACAGAAACTTTACTGGAAACTCCTTGAAAGATAGCAAAACTAAAGAGGAAAAATATTTACTCCATAAAGACTGCCTGTAGAGAACAATGATAGGAAATAGGAAATAACGGGAATGCATATAGTTGTTAGCAATGGTGCTGGCAAGTATTAATCAGAATTAGAGAATCTGTGCTCTAAGAGTCACTGAACTGCTAAGCAATTAATTGTAATCAGGTCTGATCAGCTCAGAAAGAATCTGCTGTTTAACAGGATGTGGAAAGTTTTAAACAACTGTTACAGAACTCTGGGCTAACACCATGTTTAAAGAGCAACAAACTCAGAGTAGAGCTGGCCAGAGTGCAGACAGCACCGTCTTGCAACCTCCTGTAAGGGGCTGACCCTGCCCTATCAATCAAACCTCTCTGGACAAACCACCACTGGGCAGAGCAGCAGTGCCCGGGAAGGTCACCATGGCAATGTGAAGCTACAGAGAAAGGCACTTCTGGGAAATGGAGCATGAATGGGCTGCGCTTCCGGAGGTGGGGACTGCAGAGGTGGATAAGACAGCAGTCTGAAGATGGTTACCTTCTGGCTAGTCAGGTCTTTCTTCAGCCGCTCCAGCTCCTCCTGCTGGCTCTGAACCTGCAGCTGCATCTCGGAGGCCAGCCTGACACTGCCAGTGGCCAACATCCCCTCGCTGGAAGGGTCTCCACTGCTGTGCCGATTCTTGTATGACCCAATGATGTCTTTCAAAGGGCGCTTCCCTTTGTAGGGGTTACGTCCAAAATCAAAGGAGAATCCCGAGCCAGATACTCCTACACAAAAACAAAACTTGCTTTTCTAAGAGCTGGCCAAATCGTCCTTCTAGGAAGTACAAAACATTAAGCGTCCTCACAAATCATCCCCCAGGAGTGTGTACTCATCACCCACAGAATGCAGGTGGACTAAGATGCCCCTCTCCCCTCACCTTGTTCTACAGAAAAATCAACATGCCCCAAACCAGAGATGATGCCTCTGTGGGATCCCTCCCTGGATGCCCACCACATGATAATCTTAAAAGAAAACTAAGACACAGGGATGCTTGGCTTCCTATTTTACTAATTTATAATAAAAAGAAAACAAAACAAAACCTAAATGTGTTTTTTTTATCGTGAATACCTATTTTAAAATGTAACTTTGCCCATTTTTTTCTTTATAATGAATATTTTAAAATATTGTAGGATTTGAATAAATTTTAATGCAGATGGCTTCAAATATATATTCAAGATACAGACAAGAGACACCGAGGGTATATGCTGTACAAATTCAAGTTACACAATGCTGGTTTCATGTTGTGCTGGTGTACAAGGAAGGGCCATCCACTTCCTGCAAATAACATGGACAACAAGTCGGCAGGCTGATTCTTCGGGCAGCTGCAGAAATGCCCACAACTCATACAAGTGCCCTCTCAAGGAGACCAGGGTGGGCAGAAGCAGAACCAGCTATTAGCAGTGGAGAAAGACTCTCCAGGAAGTGCTGAGAGCACTTCATCTCTCCTCAGGCACTGAGACCCCCAGTTCACACTTCTACATCGCTCAGTTTCCATGAGAAGTCACATGCTTAGTAAACTCCCCATCCATATTCCTCCCTTCCAGGAAGCCACCCCAGGTCACAGTGGCCCCATCCTGGGTATTCCGGGTGGCTACGCCATACCACTGAGCAAACAAGTAGACTCAACCTGGCTGCACCATATACCATTTCCTCAGAACCAGAGTTCACACCATCATCCCCGGCACACAGGAAATAAAGCCCCTTCTCAAAGTAATCACAGCAGTATTTGCTCTCCCAATAAAGATTTCCCCAAATCCTGTCTTCTCCTGGTGGCCCATGCTAGAATCAAGCACACAGCAGAATTTCAAAGTTATTTACTGTAATTGTATGTTTAAAACATTAACATACTCTTAATAAATCAATGCATCTAGATTGTTAACAGCATTAGGCAAAAGACTGATGGAAAATTTTATGAATGAATCAAGCTGTCACTCCTAACCATAATCAACTGTAATAGTGGAAGAGAAAAAAAACAGACATGCTGTGGCTTCAAATACATGTAACAAGAAGTACACAGCACCCCAAGCCAACAAAAAATATATTCCTACCACAATTTTTAAAAAGTCAATCCTGAATCTGGCCAAGCTTCAGTTGTAACTTCAGTATAAGGAAAAGGAAGGACAGAGGAGTATGTTAAATGAGCTCTCCAACAAAACTCAGAGGTGGGAAATTCCCCAGTTATCACCATTGGATTTCTGAGCACATGTGACAGGAGAAAGGAAAGGGAAAAGACACAAGGTGTTTAGACAAGAAAGGCCTAAAAAGTCAGGTGTGGTGGCATACAACTGTAGTCCAGCTACCCAGGAGGCTGAGGGAGGAGGGTCACAAGTTCTAGGCAAGCCTGAGCAACTTTGGGAAATCTTGTCTCAAAACAATTTGTAAGGGAACTGGAGAGGTTGCTCAGCAGGACAGTGCTTGCCTAGCATGAATGAGACCCTGGGTTCAATTCCCCCATCACAAAACAAACAAAACAAAACAAGGGAGCAAGAGAGATGAGAAGACCTGTTATTAAATGCAATGTGTGAGCTTTGTTTTGATCCTCATTTGAATAAACTATCAGGAGACATTTAAGGGAGGGAGAGGAAGGGAACCACAAGGAGAAAGAATTAAGATGTGCTATGTGCATGTACCAACTCCCCACAACGAAAGCAATCATTATGTACTATAACACAAACATACCAATAAAAATAAAAATAAACACATCAAAATTGTTTAAAAAGAGATTATTTAAGAAAGAGTTTGGGAATTACGTCATCTTAAGTATTTACTATAATTTCTTTAAGATGTAATAATGAAGCTGTATTTACAGTTCTTTTGAAGAGTCATTATCTCTTAGAGACAGCTATTAAAATCCAAGCATGGAGGCACACACTTGCAATCTCAGCACTCTGGGACGCTGAGGCAGAAGGATTGCAAGATTTGAGCCCAGCCCAGGCAACTTAGCAAGACTCTATCTCAATAAAATAAAAAGATCTGACAGTGTAGTTCAATCCAAAGGTCCCCAGTGCCACCAAAAACATAAGTAAAATTTTTAAAAAGAGATACCTACTAAAGTATTTACAAATGCAACAGATGACTGTCTAGAAGTTACTTTAAAATAACCCTTCTGTGGGGCCGGGGATGTAGCTCAGGGGTGCCATGCCTGCTTCGCAAGTGCAAGGTCCTGAGTTTGATCCCCAGTACCAGCCCCATCCAAAGAAAATCCTATCTCTAAAATTACCCTTCTGGCAAGGACCTGAGTTCAATCCCCAGCACCAAAAAATAAAATAACCCTTCTGTAAATAAGGACCAAAATGGATGAGATATTGGGAAGTAGAAATAAAATGTTCAAATAGGAAGAGGAACAAAGAAGGAAGACAGAAAGAAAGGAAGGAAAACATGGAAACAAAGCTTTTATAAATGAGGGGAAGAAAGGTTGAAGGGAGGGGAGGAGAATGGGGAAAAAGAGAATCAAGATACATTATGTACAGGTACAAATTCCCTACGATGAATGTGATCATTATGTATATCAAAAAAGTACTGGGCTGGGGATTTAGCTCAGTGGTTCCACCACTGCCTTGCAAGTGCAAGGTCCCAAGTTCAATCCCCAGTACCAAAAAAAAAAAAAAGTACCAATAAAATTAATTAAAAATAAAAACCCTGCTGATGGTGAGTGTAGGAAAGAAGTACTTAGAAGAGAAACACGAAGTAAGACAGGCTGTAGTTCAAAGCTGCAGAAGCCAGGGTGATGGGTGCCAGAGCCTGGATTCTGCATGGTCAAGGCCCATGTGGAAGGCCTGGTCCCCAGCCTGGGCTGCAGAGATAGAAACTGAAGAGGTGGGCCCCTACTCTTCCTCTCTTGCTCCCTGGCCTTGAGAGCAATGGCTTTGATTTGCATGTGCTCCCACCAGGATCCACTGCCCATTGGCCAAGGACTAAAACGTCCAAAGCCAAGAGCCAAAATAAACCTCTTCTCTCTGTAAGTCAATTTTCCTTGAGTAGTTATTACAGTACTAGAAAGCTGACTAACTCAGTGTACATGAAAAATTCATGTAATTCATGACACTATGTTTTCCTCTGTTGAGTATGTCTCAAACTTCTATAAACTGCTTTTAAACCACTGTTTCCATCAAGAGCAGCATGACTTCCAGGTGTTCTACCTCCTAAAAAAGCTATACACCCACTGGAGTGCATGATCATCTTAGAAGTCACTGGTGGTTACAGAGTGACAGTGCAGAAACACGCCTGTACCTTTGCTTCCCTCGGGTATCTGCTTCTTCCTTTCCTCCTGTACCACAGACTCCTCCAGATCCTTTGGAGGTGGATCTACAAGTTCCCACTCTTCATTGGTATAAAACACAGTCTTCCGACTATCATTATGCCCTCTCCCAGGACGGAATGATGACATTGAATTCCTATTGGGAAGGAAGAAATGTGTTATTTAAAAACAAGGAAAAGTAAACCAGGCATGGCAGCACACTCCTGTAATCTCAGCACTCAGAAGGCTAAGGTGGGAGGATTGCAAGTTCTAGACCCACCTGGGCTACATAGCAAGTTCAAGTCAACCTAGACTACACAATGAGACTTTGTCTCAAAAAAGAGGAAAAGGGGGCAAAAAATAAAAATAAACAAGAAAACGTAAAATACAACACAATTTCATGTGTGTAGGCCTGGCAAAAATTTAAATGTGGCAATACCATATGTTGGTGAGGATATGAAGAAATGGTTAACTCTTGTATACTGCCAGTGTGAGTGTAAACTGGTACCATTATCATGGAGAATAACTCTAAGAATACAGAGTAATGCTGACGACATTCCTACCCTAGGATACCAGAATTTCCTAAAAAGAAATTCTTACAGGGAGACTAAGCAAGAACATTCAATGCAGCATTGTTCATATTAGGGGAAAAAAAGATATAATTACCTACATATCCATCAACAGATGAACAGATGAACAGATGAACAATCAAATACCATACAGCACTAAAGGTGAACTCATTCAACACATACTTAACAAGTGCCTGCTCTATACCACGTACTCTTCTGGGTCGTGGGACACCCAGGGAACACAACACATCAAGCTTCTCGTCCTGTGGGACACACATTCCAGCTAAAGCTACATGTATCATAGGCAGAGAGATTTTTTTGAATGCTGATGATAAAGGAAAAAAAAACAGAAAAGACAAGTACAGAATGATACTGTTTTACATGTTCATGCTAACATTATTAATAGACACTGTTTATGGATATAAATAATAAAAAACTATTTTAAAAATCCACACATGAATAATGATCAAGTACAGATTATTGACTACCTCTGTAAAGAGCAAGAGAATGGATTCAAGAAGAGAGGATTTTAACTATATTTATAATGTTTTACTTTGTTTTTTCAAATGCAGGAGAAATGGGACAAAATTATAAAGATGGGAGCAATCAACATACTATATACCAGCCCATGTGCCAAAATATTTCATTAGAGGTTTTAAAAACTGGGTTGGGATTCTGCTTCCAGTGAAGATTTGGGACTGGATTTACTCACCTTTCTGAAAACTAAAGAACAGAACAAAATCTAGGAAATAATGGCTTTCAGACACTGGCTGTCATGCAACTCAGGACAGAGAATCCTGAGAGAGGGAAAAAACAATGGAAGTGAATCCCACCACTGACCCAGCCCACTGCCAAGAGGTAGTTTCCAGACCAGAGGACAGGCAAGGGAAGCCCTGGAGAAGACCAGTAGCTCCCTGGGTTGAAAAGACAGAGTGAAGCCAGGCATGCTGGTACACACCTGTAATCCCAGCACTCTGAGAGGCCGAGGCAGGAGAACTACAAATTAGAGCCCAGCTTGGGCAACTCAGCAACTTGACAAGACTCTATTTCATAATGTAAAATTTTAAAAGGGCTGGGGATACAGTTCAGTGTTAATGCCCTAGGTTTGACCCAGAAAAATAATTTAGAAGACTCCAAAGAAATCTGACAACACTTAGGTTCCCAACCTGCCACAAGAATATACAAAGGCATAACTTTCTACTAAAACTGCTTTAACAAGGAGTCCCCAGAACCCGATGATTACACCTAAGACCTGGCAGGTGTTTTCTTAAAATTACCGACTTAGGACCAAAAGGGAGCTGGCAAATGCACATGCCAGTCACTTCCTAAGCCCTTCTAGTGCCTGGCACCAAGCTACATCTGCACAGAAAGGCTTGGGTCAACTGCAATCCCCAAGAAGCCAAAATACTGAACTCTGGCTTTACAAACATCATAGAACTGTGGGGAAAACTATTTCAGAATAGCCACTCTCATGGCCGGGGATTTAGCTCAGTGGTTTCACTACTTGCTGCGTAAGCTCAAGGACCCGAGTTTGATCCCCAGTACCAAAAAAAAAAAAAAGGAATAGCTGCTCTCGAAAGAAAGGAAATCGCTCACAAATGCTCCAACTACTTCTGTTCATTTTTGACACAACTGGTTTGTTGCTTCCTGAGCACTGGCACCTCTAGTCCTGCCACACTATCTTCAGTGGCCCCACCTATGCTGAGGTCCTCCCAGGAGAAAGCTTCCATGCAGTGTGTATGATCATCCCCGTCCATCTCAGCAGCAAAATCTCCTTTCATTTGCCTGGGCTCCAAACTGTACCCTTGCTCTGGTTCTCAAAAACTGAATATAGGAAGGAGAAATGAAAGCAGGGAAGACACACACACAGCCTAAAAGCAGGAAGAAGGACACCTACTTTACCCACCAGGGTTCCGCAGTTTCAATCTGTCACAAGCCTGCTTGCACAAAGTCACACTCTTGCCCAGAGCTGAGAGGTGCCAGGGGGTGCACTACCACCTGCCAAGCTCTGGCAGTGGTGATAAAGCTCAAAGCAAATGCCTCCTTAAGTGGAGAATACTGAACCAAGCCCTGGGTAAGCATGGACGTGGTGAAACCTGTTCTGTGACCGTCAACATGGGTCATGGCAGTGCAGACTCAAGCACAAGCATGCTGCCCACACCATTCGGCAGAGGTTTAGCAGGAACCAGGGTTTGGTCTGTGTACCACACTGTGGAAGCCACAGCCCTGTGCACATGGGGTTCTTGGGGCTGGTGTCAAAGGCTATCCTTCAACAGTACCTGCTCTCCAAAAGCCCCACTCCTTTTAAGAGGGCTCTGAATGTTCTCCAGGCTTTGTGCTTATGTCCAATAAGCACTGAGCTGCCCTGATCCAAGGCAGGAAGTTAGGTGCTACCGGCAGCTACATAGCATCCAACAGCAGCAGTCTGCAGCCTGCGTCTTGCTAAACCATCACCAGCCAACTGCATCATCACTAAGAAAGCCTCTTCCACATCCAAAGGTTTTAGGTGGATTTCTGCAGTTTAGCAATGTATTCAGTATGCACCTGAACCCTAATGATCAGAGGGAATTCAATGAAATCTCTCCTGGAACTACCAAGCTTCAGTAAGCAACCTTTTCAGTGGGGGATACCACTGAGGCAGAGATGGGCTTGCTAGGACCCTTTGAGCAAAAGGGGAGCAGGCCACCCCAGGTCACTAATCTGATGGGCTTCTCAAACCCCTCAGGCTACAAGCTGTAAAGTGAATTGTGTAGAACAGAAGGCCTGACAAGGACTAACAAGCTACTCCAGATTAGTGACAAGAGGGCTCCAAGGGCCACAGCAGGTGGCCCCAGACACTCCAGCACTGCCAGCCCTCTTCTGTCCCCTGCAGGGGAGAGCAGGGCACTATGACATGGTGGATGCAGAGAATGCTAGGTCCCTGAAGTCAATGGACACTGAAGTCCCAGGGCGCAACAGACAGCCACGCAGCTCCTGCCTCACCACGATGGCGGACCACAGACAAGCAGGCACAGAAATGCAGCAATTGCAAATGGGAGCAAGGATGTGAGGAAGCACTGTAGTGAGGAGTGGGAGGATCAGGATGGCTTCCTGCAGGGGCAAGACAAGCAGGAGGAAGAAGGGCAGAGGGCTCCTCCCAACACAGGCCCTAGAGGGGACTGCATTTTTGGAAACAGAGACATAGAATGGGCCTGCCACAAAGGAGGCTGCAGGAGTTGGATCCAGGCTGGCTCTTAGGCCACATTCAGCAGGTGCAGCAACTTGGCTCTCAGCCAAAGGCAATGACAACCTCTAAAAAGCAGAGGGAGTGGACTAACCTGAGACAGCAGAGTTTGCAGACAGGTCCCCTCCCCAGCCCCCAACTGGAAACATAACAAGATCTGGGCCAAGCACTCCCTCTGGGGTCCAGAGGAGGCACTGAGGTTCTCCAAACCTGGGTTAATGACTACATACACATGCCAGCTGTGGTTACAGTCTGTGTCCATGAGCCAAAGCCGTCACCTTTCTGACAACCACAGTGATTTCCATGCAACAGTGGTGTTTCCAATGAAAGGGCCTGGAAGTGCATGGACAGCATTAAGAGGCAAGCGGGCTGCTGGGGGGAACCACCAAGCACAACCACATGCATCCCAGGAGCCATCAGGGAGGATGGGGCTCCAATACCAGGGCAGACACAGCCGGGCCAACTTCCTGCAGGCCCTGTGACTCCACCGGCCAGAACCACATCCTTCCTTCACACTTCCCTCCCTGAGACCCAGCTCTGAAAATGTCCATGCAAGGATGCAGTCTGACTACATTCCTTGTCTTTCTTGGCAAACATCGAGCTGTATCATACAAGGAAAATACAAATAAATACGACATCAGAGCACCAGACACAAATAACTTCCCCAAATTTACCACACATCTGGTGCCTGCTTTGGGCTGGTTTAGACCTTCTGCTGTGCCCTCCTGGGGATAAAGAACTAAGTCATCAGCTGTGTCCCAGACAGCAGAGCCCTCTTCAGACTCCTGGAAACACCAGCCATGAACACAAATCATTACTGCTACCAAGCCTGGGAGTCTGGAGAGAAGCAGAAACAAAGTCAGAAAACGGTAGCACCAGCAGAGACCCAGGAGGCCAGTGAGAAAGAGGGGCAGGGCACAGCATCTGGGCCTCCACCCACTGGGGAAGGCACCACCTCCACCCCACTCACCAGGTCAGGGAGTCAGGGTAACGACAAGCAATGGTGCCTGCAGGACTGGATCACAAAGCCACCCGTCACCAGCCCTAGCAGTGAGCCAGAGACTGCAAGACACACTTACTCACATGGGTCACTTACAACAAAGGAAAGGAAGCCCAGAGAAGCCAAGGGACTGGCTCATCTAATAAGAGCAGGCCTGGGGCTCCAAATCCCAGACTGACCACGAAGAGCACAGCCTTTCCATGACCCTACCCAGAGATAAATGCAACCCAGGAGCACCAGGCACACAGCAGGCACAGCCCATGCCACACAAGCACTGTCACTGCTTCAGCCCTGCAGCAGCTGAAGTCAGCATGCCTCCCACATATGCCCCTGTGCTCCCACACTCCATTCTCACTCCACTTGCACTCGGATCCACATCAACCAGTGGAGTTCACAAGAGGTCTAGTTTTTCTACCTGATATGATCTGGACACTTGCTGGTTATAGGAAATCATTAAAATAGGAAAACAAGTGAAACTACTAAACTTAAAACCCACACACTTATCAAGGGATGTATGACTGAGCCCTTGCCTGCGAGGCCTCTTCTGCGTCTGTGGTTACCTACTGCTGTCCATCACCTTCCTGCATAAATCACACCACAAGATATCCCCATGCTGTTCCAATTCAGTGTTCCTTCTTTCTTAAAAGTGCAAAGAGACTTACAGTTAGAAACAACATAAACATGGAATCTCGTGGACTTTTAATAACTTTTTTCTCTCATTTTTTCACAACTATGTCACCCACACAACAGTTTTTTAGTGACCCATTTTTACCAATTTTCCCTTTAGGTGTCTGATTTTTCACAGAAATGATTCCTTCTTATACTTTCTGAGTTTTCTAAGTATTTCACTGATTTACATAATTACAATGTACATCAGCCATTAGCTGATCAGGAACAAGACCCAGCTGAGTCTTGGGGAGTCTGCAGTTCAGCCGGGCAGCGGCTGGCAGGGCCCTTTAGTCTCATACAGCCAGCGTGAACCTTAGCCCAGAGGGAATTCAGAGCATCAGCTCATGAGGACAGCTTCATAACAGAGCTTCAGCTACCGATAAGAAAACAGAAGCATTTAATTGTCCTTTAGGCCCTGACTATGCTCAATTTGGATACTGTTTAGAATCCATTAAAAAAAGACACACATAACTTTTGGGCTATTCCTCTAAAATATAGGGATAAAATATTTTTACTATTTCAAAGGTCATTAAAATATCTCCAGGCTGGGGATGTAGCTCATGGCAGAGCACTTGGCTATTATGTGTACAGGCGCTGGGTTCCATTCCCAGGGCAGAAAAAAATAAAAGACTCTCCAGGCACCCAAAACATTTTATTTAAACCTTCATAAAGCATGCCACAAATAAAAAGATAAACAAAAGAAAAGCCAAACACCACAAACACTTAAGATCCATATGGCATCATGAATATTTGGTTTCTATAGAAAGTGGTCCTACAAAGGAGCATTTGTTACTAGCTATAACCCCAACTATGGCCACCAACCCTACTTCCCACCCAACTCAGTGCTAGGCAGTGCTCTGACCACTCTGCACTACTAGTTCATCATCAACATTCAAGCTCATGAAGTCCATACAATGACTACCACCTTTTATAAGTGAGGAACAGAGGCACAAGAAATTTGCCCACAACACCCAGCTACCAAGGGGCACAGCTGGGAACTGAACTCAGAAAGTCCAGCTCTTACCCCGTGCCACACTCCAAAAGCAAGGATGATAGGCAGTAACCCCAGTGATGTTCAACTCTCAATGTGCTCTGTCAGTTGTCACACACCAAAGTGACATGTGCTTCCTTTCCTAGGCAGCAGAACTCAAAATCATCCTAAACTCAAGGACACAGAAAGCACATAGTAATAGAGGTCTGTCTCTGCTTCATTCCTTTCCCTAATTCTGAAGGCAGACAAGGCTACTCAGGAACAAAAACCTGGTAAATCCATAGTCCTCCAAATATGTTCTCAGGCAAAGGTGGAAGGAACCTGGGTGTACCTTTCAGTTCTGACACATATGTGCCCCATGACCTTGAGCAATCACTTTATCTCTCCAGGCCTCAGCTTTTCAACCTGTAAAATGCAGGGAGGACCTTCCCATGGTTTTCTGCCATTTTTAGGAGCACAGACCCATTTCTTTGCTGAGAAGCATGCTTCTGTGAAACAGAGGAGCAGTGCTGCTCTAGGTACAGGTGCGAGTACCTTGCTGTTTCTCCCCGGGCCCCTACCCCTGCCCCTACTGGAAGGTGAGTGGGACACAATCTCATGAGACAGGGCACACTGAACACACAGGCACAGCGAGCAACTGAGGCTCAAACAGATGTGATGGTCAGACTGAGCAGACGGGCACAGTGTAGATGTGGGGTTCAGAGGAAGGCAGCAAATGGCCAGAACACAGAAGCTTGGAGAGTGTGTGTTCAGGCGAACAGCCACCCAAGGAACAGGCTGAAGCAACACTGCTGAGAATCTCAGCATCAGACAGAGCTGACTCCACAAGCTTTGAGAAGAGAACAGCAGAATGTGGCTGGAGTCAGGCAGGCCTGCTGGTCAAAGCCCCAAAGTGCTCTCCCTCACAATGCTGGTCTTCTTAGGTCTGGGCCCAACTGCATCCTACTCACTTCTAACATAAGCCCAGGTCTGAAGAACTAAAAACACATAGAAAAGAAATTGCTTCATCATACTGAACTCAGCCATAAAGACACAAAAAAGGGAAAGCAATTGAAGGAAAGAGGTTACCTTCTAAAATGTGTTTTTGGATACTCTGGACATCCGAGTTCTGCAATGTAGGTGCCTAGCCTGCGTCCTGATCACTGGCTGAGCCCTATAGCAGAGCAAGAAACCTCCAGGTCCCATAACACATCAGCACACACCTTTGCACTGTTCCCCATCTTCTAAATCAGGCCAAGGCTCTTCAGGTTCTGTGGCTATAAGGTGAACTGTTTCAAAGACCTTTGTTCAAAGAATGCACAAAACTCAGTAATAATTAGCTGATGCAATTAAAAATGGGTCAAGGGTATGAATAGATGTTGCTCCAAAAAAAATTCAAAAATAGGCCAGGGATTTAGCTCAGTGGTCCCGGCGCCTGCCTCGAAAGTGCAAGGTCAGGAGCTCAATCCTTGGTACCAACACCCACCCCCCCAAAAAAAATTCACAAATGGCAAGTACAGGAAAATATGCTCAACACCATCAGTTATTAGGGAAATATAAATCAAAACCACAATGGAACAACAACTATGGCACACTACAGGATGATTAGAATCAAGAAGGCAAGCGTTGGTAAGGATATGGAGAGCCCAAATACACTGTCAGTGGCCATGTCAAATGGTACAACTGAGGAACAGTCTGGCAGTTCCTCAAAAGGTTATGCATAGAGCAACCATGAGATCCAGCAATCCCACAGCTAGGCACATACCTAGGAGAAATGAAACATGTCCACACAACAAATGTATGTGAGTGTTCACCGCAGACTTACTGGTAACAGTCAAAAATGGAAACAACTCAACTGTCCAACTGATAAATGGATAAACAAAACATGGCACAGCCATATAAGGGAATATCATTTGGCCATTAGGGAAAAGAAGTACAGGCCTGACATGCTACAGCATGGATAGACCTTGAACACATTGTATTAAGTGAAAAATGCCAGACCTTAAAGGTCTCCTGTGATTCCATTCATATGAAATGTCCAGAATAAACAAATCTATAGAAACAGGAAGTAGATTAGGGGTTGCCTAGGGTTAAAGGTGGGAAGAAAGAGAAGGAGGCAGGAGAAATAGGAAGGGACTGCTAATGGGTATGGAGTTTCTATCTAGGGTGATGAGAATGTTCTAAAATGGACTGTGGTAATGGTTGCACAACTCTGTGGATACACTGAAAACCACCAAATTGCACATTTTAAGTGGATGGATTGTATGGTATGTGAATTATATCTCCAAAATAGGTTTTTCTCTTTAAGCATAAATATGTTTTTAATAAAATCTTCATTCTCACTGGCCTAAGCAAAACTGAGGATAGAAATCTAGAGCAGAGGCCTGGGCCAGTCTGAGTGCAGAGATGGGACAAGACCCTCTGGGCAAGAGCCCCAGGGTTGTCCCTGGGAGCCCTGTGACCTCAGACACAGTTGATGTCAACCAATTTCAGCCTCTGAAAACATCATCTAGGCCAGGGATTTAGCTCAGTAACAACGTGCCTGCCTAGCAAGTCCAAGGTCCTGACTTCAATCCCCGGTACCAAAAAAAAAGAAAAAAAGAAAACATCACACAACTTATCTCAGACTCATGCATTTAAATTAAAACATAAGCATGATGATGTTTGGCAAGGTGTCAGCCACAGAACAGACATGTTATTTATAAGCTAAAAAAATGAGCCATGAAAATACATTGTAAAAGAAAAACAACCCTCACAAGTGCACAGTGGTTTTATAATTTCATATATAAACATGTATGTTGGGATATATATTATCAAAAATAATCCTTTTTCAGTTTCCCATGCCACTTCCCAAAGACTCACTTAAGCTCACTGCCCCACTGTCTCAGAGAATAGAAGTTAATGGGATTCTGGTGTCCTGGGGCCGGCTGGTTTGCAGCTTGTTCTCCCACCAGCTCTCCAGGAACAGTTTCTATGGCTAGAACATTTCTGGCTTTTTCTGCAGAAGTATTTGGGTGTGGATAAATGACATCTGAAAGAAAGGCAAACAACAAAGGTCAGTTACTCAGAACTTCCACATGAAACTTGACATTCTACATGAATGGACTTGATATGCTACATAGAAAATCTCAACTATATGAATAATAGCATATTTTTAATGTATACCATATAAAAAACACAATCTGTGGGAGACTTTGGTGTTCTGTAACCATTTTCATCTAAAGTAGATAACTGTAGGGCCGGGGATTTAGCTCAGTGGTGCCACCACCTGCCTCACAAGCAGAAGGACCAGAGATGGATCCCTGGTGCCAAAAAATAAATAAATAAATAAAATAAAGTAGATACCTGTTTCTTGAAGGAAGGCTGTGATATGTTTCAAACCACTCGGCACTACCAGCACTGACCCAGAAGAGAGAGGCCAGGACTCCCCCAGGCCCTGTAGGTTAGTAAGCGCAGAGGAACTACAAGCAAAGTCCACTCACCTGTGCCGATTAGGAACCAGCTCCAGGACAAACTGGTACACAGGAAAGCAGATCAGATTACACTCCACTCCCTTCCCACCAAGAAAGTAGGAGGAATACAAATATAAACATATTTGCTAATACTTGCAAATAGTGACACTGAAAAAGTAAGTCTGCACATCATAATTTAGTAAGCTACAGGCAAACACGCTGGTGCTAAAGCATGACCAAGTTTCAAAATATATCCTTAAAATGTAAGCTTTGGAGTTGTTTATGGTTGAAGTGATATATTCCGGATTTATTTCAAAATAATGGTATTTTGTTACTTAAATATATAATAGTATTTGTTCAAACAACATGTTACTTACTTGCTTCAAAATAACAAAATGAAGTAGAAACCAAGAAAGTTAATGAAGTAATATTTTTTAAGTGTTTTTTTTTTTTTTTTGAGACAAAGTCTCACTGCGTAGTCCAGGCTGGTCTTGAACTCATAGCAATCCTCCTGCCCCAGCCTCCCGAGTGTTGGGATTACAAGCATGTGCCACCATGGCTACCTATGAAATAACTTTTGAAACTAATAAATATGGAGGTAATGTTATGTTATTCTCTTGATATATTTAAAATTTCCCATAATTAAAAGTTCCTTTTTTTAAAAACCTGCCAAACACATTTCAAACTACAAATATTTTGTATTCTTCCAAATAATGTAACTCAGGAATAGGGCACATCTGTAAACAGAACTTAATATTACTTCACCATAATCAATGTGATCTACATTTCTTTTTAACAAAGCATCCCTACATCAGTGATATCAACTATCACTCTTTCTAGGAGAAGAAAATCACAAAGGAACTTCTTTTTCTTTTTTTTTTGGTACCGGGGATCTAACTCAGGTCCTTGGGCTTGCGTAGCAGGTCACAGTAACTTCTGACCAGTGCTAGTTTCTAACCCAAGTAGCACACACCAGTCATTTAGGAAGGGCCTCTGTGAGATCACTGGGCAGGGTCGAGACAGCAGCTTGAGAGGCCTAGGCAGCACAGGCCCTCGAAGACCAGTGTCCTACACAGGAACCCACTGATGGGCTTGCCCTGTAGAGGGAGGCAACTAACTGAACCCCAGTCAGCAATAGTGTGGGAAGCTCGGAAGTCCATGTGGGAGATACCCACAGTGTGACATGAGTAAGAGGCTGCTGTCCCAGTGGGGGCATTTAGCTCCAGCCAGGGAAATCAATACCAGTTTATGGCAGGGTTCTGACCAGGAAAGGTCAAGAGATGTGCTGGGGACGGAGGAATCATGGGTATGGGAATGGATCCCAAACTCAAGGCAAGAGGCAGGAGTTACAAACTCCAGAGCGAGGGATAGGGGCACTGCCTGTCCCTGTAGTGACAACATCTTAGCTTGCTCTGTTTCTGTCTTGCTGTTTCTGTCTGTCTCTGTCTGTCTCTGTCTGTGTATGTCTCTCTGTGTCTGTATCTGTCTCTCTCTCTCTCTCTCTCCCTCTTTCCCTTCCTCCTTCTCTCCCCTTCCCTCCCTCCCCACACCCTCTCTCCTGGGGACCTGAACAGGACCTTTGCACTGAGCTGTATTCCCTAGCCCTTTTTATTTCTGTTTCAAGACAGAATGTCAAGAAGTTGTTAAATTGCCTGGGCTGGGCTCAAACTCGGGATCTTTCTGCCTCAATCCCAAGAGTGCTGGGATTACAGGTGTGCACCACCATGCTTGGTTCCTCTGTGCTCTTTAAACATTTCCCAATGCCTAAGTGACATCTCTGAGGGAGTTAGACTGTAATGTCTACACTTCCTGGGTCCTGATTCCAGTACAGTCTCTTAATTCCAGCAACCCAGGCAGCCTCGGCTCCAGCTACAGTCCAAGTTTCCCACTGGGGGTCTCACAGGGAGGCCCTTGCTCACATCTGCCCTGCCCTGGGGGGCTCCCTTCCCCCTCCAGCTCCTACTCTGCCACAGCAGCCAAGGATAGGGTTCCACCACTAGGCAACTCTGCAGCCAGTGAACTACACAACCAGAAGAATCCCATGAAATCCACTCAAGTGCCTCAGAGCACAGCACAAACAGGAGCTGAAGCATCACCATAGGAGATGGAGATGGGGAGGCTGAATTCGAAACACCTTTTTCACAATCAAATCAAGTTTTAACCCAGATTGAAGGAGTGGTCATGAGGAGCAGGCGTTGTCTTCTAAGTGAGGACATGGCACCATCTAAGAACAAATGGAGAGATGGGTCTAAGAATGCCCAGGACAGGCCGGCCCAGCTACAGGTCTGATTAAACCTGTACATCTGTACCCAGCCACTGCAAGGAGTCCTAGCTGAGTACTAACTGCTGCACACCCAACACCCAGAACAGAGGAGGACTCAGATGCCATCAGTAAAATAGTTGGAACAAGTGAAAAAGACAGTAACTCATCCCTTGGCACAGCAAGGAACGAGGCAGGCAGTGGCCGAGGCCTCTGCAGCCCTCCATGTCTGACATGGTCCCTCCTGACTTCTCCTACCACCACTTCCCTCTAATGAGCTCCCTGCATGCAGCCCCTTGGCTCTAGCCCCATCCACAGCAACCCCCATCCCCACCACCACCACTGCCACCACCTTCATCAGCACCAACTCCCACAGGGGGTGCAGGCACAGGTGTCCCCACAGGACCATGCCATGCCCTAAGTGTTCTCGGACAGCATCTTTTCACCTCTCTGTGGGCTCCTGCAGGCTCCTTGAAGAAACAGCCTTGCAGAGACAATACTGATGCAAGTACTATGGCTTACACTTTAAAATACCACATGGCATTTTATAGCATTTCCCAGATGGGATGACACAGAAGCAGTGCTTCTGGAACCACCACAAGGGACCACAGCCTTGAAGGATGACATGGACTAGCAAAGTGTGGTCAATGCCAGCTCTACCCTTCATCCATTCCTGCCAGAAACCCAGCAGCAGGTGCAGAGGACTGGGAGCTGCTCCTTCCCACTCACAGGTGCTAAAGGTGACAGTGAATTATGAAAAGCAGCTGCTGCAAGGGAGGAAACGTGCGGTCGTCCCTGAAATCATCGTCATAAGTTTCTGCAAAAACAGTTCTCAGACACTCAGCCCACAGTGCCCACGCAGGCTTCACACTCCTGACCAACAACACAAGGCTGAAAATGCAGCACATGGGTAGGAGTCTCACTCTGTAGACAGGACTTTTGGGGAAAACATGAATGCAGGCAGCTCAGTGACAGTGGAAGCTCACTGTCAAATATTCACTCCTACTTTTTCTTGCTCAGAGACCTCAGTTTTGATGGAGGCCATATCTCTGCTGAATCACTTGGCTCCCCAGATCACTTCCAGTCATGTGACACAGCTCTAGCTAATGACATATGCACTGTAAGTTTCTGGGAAAGCATCCTCCTTTTTGATATAGGTGCAACTGCCAGGAGCAGCAAGCATGAGTAGAAAGGCAAGCGGACTCTAAGGATGGAGAGCACAGGGTCAGAAATACTTGGCTCCCTCAACAACAGTGAGTGGCTATGCCCGCCATCCACTGCCTATCACGTGGGACAAGTACATCCTGTTTGTAAGTCTTTGTGAGGGCTCCTGTCAACTGCAGTTGAACATAATCCTAACCCACTAGTATCATATACATGTGTGTGCATGTATATATATATTGTGTGTGTGCATATATTATATGTACTTGTGTGTTATAACTCTTCATTTTAACAATGGATTTCTGATTCAATCCGAGCAACAGCAACATGAAGGAGATGGACAAACTTCTTTCCGTGGCAGTCTGTGCTCTTGTTCTGGAGGTAAAGTGACTTGCTCAATCTGATTAGCAGGAGATATCAGAACAAAGATCTCCACCCAGATGCACAGGGCTTCCTCCCCCAGGCCAGGTGGGCTTGGTTATATAGGGAACAAGTGAATTTCCCTACCTTTCCCCATACTGGCTTTAGTACTCAAGGGTCCTGATGGGGGAACACCTTTAGACAAATATGTAACTGGGAGACAACGGCAGTAAAAGGTTTGGTTTGGTTTGTTTTCATGAAAACCAGAGTTACAAAAATACCCATTTCAACTCCAGCTCCAGTCAGCATGGCTAGGCTAAGCACAGCAAGTAACTGCATACAAGGGTTCAGGATATCCCACAGCACCACCAAAAACTTATCTTTAATCCTTTTTTCTCTTGGTGATGAAAGGAAAGGGGCTCAAATACAGCCTCTTCTTGGTTTCCTATTTAATAAGACTTTTTTTTTTACTTCCTGAATGTTATGGTCTTGAAAACAGCCCAGAGGTTTCACTGTTTGTTCTTAGAAGCTATCTAAACTCTGGTAGAAGTCGCAGTCATTTCTACACACAGTATCTTCAAAGGTGCTCGACTGTGCTTCTGGCAGAGTCCAGAACCCTGCAGCCAGGACACTCCCAGCCAGCTACAGCTCCAACTCCACCTGAGTGCACTGGCCCTCCAGTCCCACAGGGGTACTGCTTTCCAGCTCTCCTGCCTCAGCTGTTTTTCAACCTGGTTGGCTTCTGCTCATCTCCTGAAGCCTAAAACCACGGTTGGCCCACACACAGGCCTAGGCCCCTGCACATCCCTCCCCTCATTCTACTCTTACCTGTCTTCACACGACGACCCTGCTTGACTAGAAACTCCAGGAGGGCAGGGTCAGGCTGAATGCAGAATATCATATGGCACAAACGCTAAATTCCACACAAGAGTCCCCAAACTGAACAGGGAACCAAAGATCACCTCCACACAACTCCTCTGTCACCAGCGTCAGTGCTTTGGGTGGCAAGGAGGCAAAAGAGGTGTTCTAGAGAGATTGCAAGTCTCTCCTGTAGAGCAGCACTTTGTGCCACCAAATTAAAGGAGCAGAGGCCAACAGAGCGTCTTCTGGCTCAAAGGCATGAGCCACGGTCACAAATGCTGCTGGTTCCCCAAAGGTGTCCCGTGTCTCGAGTGACTTGGAACTGAGTCACAGTGTCTTTTCACGGAAAGCATGTCAACAGTGTCTTTTTTTTGGTACCAGAAATAGAACTCGGGACCTTGAGCTTGCAAGGCAGGTGGCAAAACTGCTGAGCTAAATCCCTGACCCCAACAGTGGCTTTTTAAAGATTCAGCCTAATCAGTAGACTCCTTAACAGAATGGAGAGGCATGAACCCAAACCTGAAGGCACCATGTCGGCTCTGTGATACCCACAGGAACAGCTGAGCAACTCTCAAGAAAACACGTCCACAGCTATAATGGGTCTGCTGTAACTTCTCACTGACCTGAGACAACCTGCTGAACAATGCTGTGACAAACGTGAAGAAGAAAATTCTAAGAGGGTATTTGTCTCTGGAATAAAGTAGTCGTATGTGTGCCAACACCATCCTCAGTGCAACAGCAAACTCAAACATGGCCCTGTGTGGGGGCCAGCAGAAGGTCCTCAGGCTTTAGGAAGTACAGACCACCTCTCTTCAGAAAGTGTTAGAAGCAGCACAGGCTAAAATTTTATGTGAACTCTTATGATCTTCAAAACTGCTAGGACAATGGCTTTGCCATTTCAGTCCCACGTCAGGACTCAGAGCCTGGTCCCCACCCTGCCCTGCCCTGGGCCTGCTCTTTTCCCTACATGATGAGTGAGGGCCATAAAAAAGTCCTACCCTCCCCACTAATCTTTGCAGGGAACAGGACAGGCCAGCAGTTAAGGTAGTCAGCAAATAATTTTCAGTCTTTCTAGAGGGCTCAAGACAACTACATAGTTGTAAGAGGATCATGGAGTTTTAATTTTTGATATTCAAATATAAAAGCACACTTCGAGATTGCAAATGGTTAGGAATTACTAAGAGTTAAGAAAATACCATGCAGCAAAAAAATAAAATAAAATCAGATTTGAGGGTTAAAATCCCTAGTTTGAATATGACTCTGAAACTGGAAGCACCATAAACATGGGAAGGCACCCATTCAGAAGAGACCATCACCACTATTTTCATCCTGAATTCACGTTCATCCACAGCCAAGCTGGACCTACTAGGTTAAGTAGCTACACACAGAGAACTGCATGGTCCCTCCACCCCTGCTTTACCTGTATTACTTCTGGCTACAAGGCCCTTAGGGAACTCCCCAGGGGTGGGGGACGTCCTGCTGTTCCACTTTACCATGTCCAGGCTGTTGCAATATTCCCATCTCTTCTGCTGCAGCTCCTGCAACCAGTAAGTCATGAGCTGACGATTAGGAGCCTAGGAAGAGGGCGAGAAAAACTTGTTATGGCCACAAGTAAGACAAAGAGCTTAAAAAAATTCTGTCTGATGGCAACTGTGCACCTTGCCACGTGAAAGGAAGCAATAAGGACAGAGCAAGGAAATTTCAGTTACAGGACTGGTAGCTTTTGCTCATAACAAGTTGGTCAAGCAGTTCTATAAAGATTTTTAGCACAATTGATAAGAAATCTTTTTAAATTCTAAGATTAGAGATTAATGCAGTGTTAACATTTTTCTTAAGAGTTTTAGGACTGATTTCCCTGCTGCTCCTTCACTCTGAACACTCATCCATCCATCACATGAAGTCAAACCTTGCAAAGGTATGGAGGGTACCTTGCCAAATCATATCAAATAATGGCACTTAAACTCTGCCAGCATTGGAGAGAATATACAGAAAAAACTGCAGATCAGCCAAGCATAGTGGTCCATGCCTGTAATCACAGCCACTCACAAAGCTTTAGGCATGAGAATTATAAGTTTGAGGCCATCCTGGACAACTTACAGATGCCCTGTCTCAAAATAAAAAGTAAAGAAGGATAAAAATGTAGTTCCACACCTACTGGGTTCTGCACTCCCCAATGCTGCAAAACAAAAAAATAAATAAATAAATAAAAACTTGCAAAATAAAAACTAGATGGCACACCTATTAGAACGGCTAATATTTTTTGAAGCTAACAGTATCAAATGCTGACAAGGGTATAGAGCAACCAGAATGCTCATAAACTGCTAGTGGAAACACCAAAGGGTGAGAGCTATTTTAGGAAACACTCTGGCACTTCCAAGTGAAACACATTCACCAAGCAACCCTACAACCCTGTTCTATGTCCACATTTGTGTGTGAATGTATACAAAGGCTTTACCCATAACCATCAAAAACTGCAAACAACCTGAGTCTACTTAATTTGGCAAATAAACAGACTGTAGCACATCCATACAATGGATCAAACCACTGACTCACCAAGTATATCACTAAGAGAAAGAAGCCAGACCCTAAAGGCCACATGCTGTCTGAGTTCATGTGTGCAATGTTCTGAAAAGGCAAAAGTACACAGACAGAAAACAAACCTAGAGTGGCTAAGGCTTAGAGGCAAGGTGGAGCTGACCACACTACAACTATCAGGAAGAGTCGTGATTTCATGCACTGGTCCAAACCCAAACAATTGCACACCACAAATTAATTGTATTCTGTAATGTAAATACATCTTTAAAAAGCAACCAGGATAAAGGAGAACCCCAAACCATGAACCCAGGTGTAAATAAACACAATGGACCACAAGTACAGGTCAAAGATCACCAGGTTTTCCCTGCAAAGAGTCCCCAAGAGAAGTAGGGAAGCCACAGAAGCTCATCTGCACTGGTGTCCAGCGAGGTGTGCAAACCTCAGACACAGCAACTCCCATGTCAGAGGTAGTGCAGAAACCGGCTCTACGGGCCTGACAGCAAGTAACACACCTAGAGACCACACTGTATTACTGGTAAGCACGGGGACAAGCATTTGCACACTTGGTCCCAAATAAAGATATCCATATAAGATCTCTGGGTATCTATAGGAAATGTTTCTATCAGGTAAGGTCTCTCTTCACTGATGCATTCAACCAACTGCACCTACAAGGTACCTGGAACTGGGGCTAGCCTGAGAGAAAGAAAACAAATCAGGTGTTTCCACAGTGCACTGAATGCTAAGAGAGGGCAGAGGGGTGAGGTGGAGCCATGGTGCCTGGAGAGCAGTGAGGAGGGCAAGGTACTCAGAATTGACATCATCATCCATCTACAGGTCAAAAGCTTTAGAGTACAGGCTTCCTGTCTGTCTGCTTCAATAAACACAAACTCCAAGATGGCCCCACTTCTGTAACTGCCTGCTCACCACCACACACATAACAGGACACTTATTTACCAAATATGGAAGGAATAAGTAAGTAACAAATCAGGAGGTGATATTGAAGCTGGGTCTTAAAGGTGAAACAGCCACCAGCCAGAAGGACCAGGGAAGAGGAGGGCTCAAGGCCAAGAGCAAAATGTCTGCACAGAATGTCTACAAAACCCACAAGGGAGATAACACGAGCCAGGAGGGGTGGTGTTAGGAGGGAGTAGGAAGTTCACAAGGCAATGGCCCAGACAGACAGTGTCACCGCTGCAGACATGGCTGTGAAGGGGAAAAGGTCAATGAAGGCCCAGAAGCCAAGAGCCCACCTAGGAGACACACATGTCATAGCCTATTGGCCAGGCAGTAGCCAACTGCAGGGTGGATGGTAGGGTTGGGCCGGGACAAAGAGAACTCAGGAATCCCCACAAGAGGGGATCAGGGATTCTGGGAGCAGGTGAGGATGGGAGACACAAGTGTGCCCCAACCCAAGGCTAAAGTCCCTAGTTCTCCTCCACATTTTGGCAGGCCCAATAAGAAAGTGGCTTCCCAAGATCACATACAAATTAATGAATGTCAGAACTATGACCTGGATCTCCACCCCAGCTTTGAGGTGGGCATGTGTCTAGGGTGATGAGATCCTCATCAGCTCTCTACTCTCTCCTGCAATGCAGCCACGTGAAAACCTTGTTTTACAGGAAAACCTTTTCCCTTTCAATCTTTACTATTAAATCTAACTGGAAACAATTAGTAACCACCTATTTACCTCTCACTAAATTCCTGGGGCAAAGAAGCCCTCAGATCACATGCCTCAGTATCTGACATCATGTTGCGTAAATCTGGTCAACAAGACAGGCAAAACCACCTCAAGACAGTGAATAACCAGAGTTTGCTACCTTCCACAAGTCCAGAGGTCTCTAGAAGAACCCTAACTCCAGTCCCAAAGTAGCTAGTAAAAAGCTTGTCTGCAAGGCTCAGGGCCTCAGTGCCCTTCCTGCTCCCTCACAGCAGGTGGGTAGGACCTTTGAACAGTTGGGCCTCACAGACAGCTCCATGACATTCTATCACCAGGAGTCCATCCATTGAGCCTCAGTTCAAGTGGTGATGAGCCTGTCACCATCACCACCACGTGGTATCCACCATATACCCCTGGCCAGAGATATGAAAACATGGCTGGGAGACTGGCCATTTAAAATGCTGCTGTTCTAAGCTCTGACTGACAGATATTCCAGTCACATGGGATGGAATAGAGATGAAGCAAAGCTCTACCACTTAGCGGGTGCCAGGTAAGCACCCCACAGGTAGCCAGTGTCCACTGTCTGAGAGCTCCCCAGGCCATTTCCTGGGTCTCCACAACACCAGTCTCCCCAACTCCTACTCATTGCCCAAGGTCCTGTGCAAATGCCACCTCTTCAGAAGAGACTTCCCTGGGATGAGGGTGCATTTCCTCTCCATTTTCTGAAACAGGAGCTCACCCATGGGGATGAGCCTGGGGGTTCCTCACTAAGTTCCTTGTAGGCAGATATACCAGTCTCAATAGGATCCAGTACCCAGCTCAGTCCCTCAAATATAAAAAGCACCCAAATATCTAACTCATTACAACCATCAGTAGCCACAAGACTCGCATTCAGAAAACGAATGCCATGCACACCATGGCACAACAAAGCACTCTTCTAGGACTGGGCCCCAGAGTGAACCATAGAGGGATAGACACTTGGCAGCCTCTCCCAAGGGCAACCCAAAGGTACTGGCAGGCCAAGCCTCGCAGGATGTCGCCAACTTCCCCAGGGTGGGTGCTTCTTCCCAGCAATGCAGAGGAACTACGGTCCTCACATTTCCATGCTCTGGGTTCAAAAAGGCCTTTCTAAACCCGAAAAGACAGCATGTAGAGAAAATGCCTGTGGGTCTCAAACACCATCAATAAAATTAAAGTGACAGATGCAGACAAAGTCCAGGTATATACACACGGGTAGGAGCTTCACCTCCCACAGTCTCACAGGGCTTCTCTAAGCCTGGTGAGCACCTGTTCATCTTCATTTTTATAAAAATACATTTCAGACTTTATTTCAAATAATAATAACTAGCTACTTTTGCTATGAAGAATCTGAAAAACAAAGACAAAAACAAAATGAACATAACACCATCACCAGAAATAACTTCTATCGAAACTGGTGTATTACCAAATACTTTCCACCTATAGACATATACACCAATTTTCTTCATAAAATTGAAATAAAATGACAGACTCTTCAATCTAATATACACACTCCATCTGTATATTAGTAATATCATAAGACACTTTTGCTTCACACATGCTGTCATTTAACTGTCATAAACAGTGCCATCTCCTTGGCCACAGACCTGGCACCTTGCTGCCTGATTCATTCCCAACCCTGCACCTGCAACCTGTGCGAAGTGGGTTCCATAGCCTATCTGGAACTCAGACACCTTGTCAGGAATCTCTGTGATGCTGTGACAGGATGAAGTGGGTTACCAGTGTGAAGCTCAGAAGGGGCTGGGCACATAGCAAGTACTCAGGAAGAATCAACTCTCCAGCTTCCTGAGCTTGCTCAAGATCTCACGGCCTGCTGCAAAACTCAAACCTGGGGCTGTACTGCTTGCTGCAAAGGAGGAGGACAGTGTCCACGGGAAAAAAGCCCTTCTCAGCATTTCAGCTGGAACCACAAGTTCCTCTCTGGTTTTTCTCAAATACTAAAATGCTGATGACCTCAAGCAACAGCGAAGTTCAACTTAAACCCTATGTATGTTGGCTTCCAGGGCAAAGACAACTCCCACCCAGAGTCTGTCCGCTGTCACTCCAGAAGGCAGCGTGGTGTCACTGAGGCTGAGAGAGTACGGCCACCAATCACAGGTGCTTCCAACTAATGCTCCTAGCCACATTTCTGCTCTTGGGACGTGGGGTATGAGTGGGTGTGAGTATAGGCGTGTGTGTGACTGAAGGTTAAACCCAGGGGAACTACCTGAGTGCTACCCAGTGGTAGCACTAAGCTGCATCCCCAGCCCTTTTTTATTTTTTGAGACAGGGTCTCGCTAAGTTGCCCAGATTGGCCTTCAATTTTCAACCCTCCTGCCTCAGCTTCCTGGGTAGCTGGGTTAC